GTCCACGTCCAGGTCCACGTCCACGTCCACGTCCACGTCTACGTCACGTCCATGTCCACGTCCACTTCCACGTCCACGTCCACGTCCACGTCCACGTCCATGTCCATGTCCACGTCCACGTCCACGTCCACGTCCACGTCCACGTCCACCACGTCCACGTCCACGTCCACGTCCACGTCCATGTCCACGTCCACGTCCACGTCCAAGTCCACGTCCACGTCCACGTGGACGTCCACGACCACGTCCACGTCCACGTCCATGTCCACGTCCATGTCCACGTCCACGTCCATGTCCACCTCCACGTCCACGTCCACGTCCACGTCCACGTCCACGTCCACGTCCACAACCATGTCCACGTCCACGCCCACGTCCACGTCCACGTCCACGCCCATGTCCACGTCCATGTCCATATCCATGTCCACGTCCACGTCCACGTCCACTTCCACGTCCATGTCCACGTCCATGTCCATGTCCACGTCCATGTCCACGTCCATGTCCACGTCCACGTCCACGTCCATGTCCACGTCCACGTCCACGTCCATGTCCACGTTCACGACCATGTCCACGTCCACGTCCAGGTCCACGTCCCTGTCCACGTTCACGACCATGTCCATGTCCACGTCCACGTCCACGTCCACGTCCACGTCCATGTCCACGACCACGTCCACGTCCACGTCCACGTCCACGTCCACCACGTCCACTTCCATGTCCACGTCCACGTCCACGTCCACGTCCATGTCCACGACCAGGACCACGTCCACGTCCACGTCCACGTCCACCTCCACGTCCACCTCCACGTCCACGTCCACGTCCACGTCCACGTCCACGTCCACGTCCATGTGCACGTCCACTTCCACGTCCACGTCCACGTCCACGTCCACGTCCACGTCCATGTCCACGTCCACGTCCACGTCCATGTCTACGTCCATGTCGACCACGTCCACGTCCACGTCCACGTCCATGTCGACGTCCATGTCCACGTCCACGTCCACCACGTCCACGTCCACGTCCATGTCCTCGTCCACGTCCACGTCCACGTCCACGTCCATGTCTACGTCCACGTACACGTCCACGTCCATGTCCACCTCCACGACCACGTCCACGTCCACGTCCATGTCCACGTCCACCACGTCCACGTCCATGTCCACGTCCACGTCCACGTTCATGTCCACGACCACGTCCACGTCCACGTCCACGTCCACGTCCACCTCCACGTCCACGTCCACGTCCACGTCCACGACTAGTCCACGTCCATGTCCACGTCCACGTCTACGTCCAGGTCCACGTCCACGTCCATGTCCACGTCCACGTCCACATCCATGTCCATGTCCACGTCCACGACCACGTCCACGTCCACGTCCACGACCACGTCCACGTCCATGTCCACGTCCACGTCCACGTCCATGTCCACGTCCACGTCCACGTCCATGTCCACGTCCACGTCCACATCCACGTCCACGTCCACGTCCACGTCCACGTCCACGTCGACGTCCATGTCCACGTCCACGTTTCTGTCCACGTCCACGTCCACGTCCATGTCCACGTCCACGTCCATGTCCACGTCCACGTCCACGTCTATGTCCACGTTCACGAACATGTCCACGTCCACGTCCACGTCCACGTCCCTGTCCACGTTCACGACCATGTCCACGTCCACGTCCACGTCCACGTCCACGTCCATGTCCACGTCCACGTCCACGTCCATGTCCACGACCATGTCCACGTCCACGTCCACGTCCACGTCCACCACGTCCACGTCCATGTCCACGTCCACGTCCACGTCCACGTCCATGTCCACGACGACGACCACGTCCACGTCCACGTCCACGTCCACGTCCACCTCCACGTCCACCTCTACGTCCACCTCCACGTCCACGTCCACGTCCACGTCCATGTCCACGTCCACGTCGTCCACGTCCACGTCCACGTCCACGTCCACGTCCACGTCCACGTCCACCACGTCCACGTCCACGTCCACGTCCACGTCCATGTCCACGTCCACGTCCACGTCCACGTCCACGTCCACGTCCACGTCCAAGTCCACGTCCATGTCCACGTCCACGTCCATGTCCACGTCCACGTCCACGTCGACGTCCATGTCCATGTCCACGTCCATGTCCACGTCCACGTCCATGTCCACGTCCATGTCCACGTCCATGTCCACGTCCATGTCCACGTCCATGTCCACGTCCATGTCCACGTCCATGTCCACGTCCATGTCCATGTCCATGTCCATGTCCTTGTCCACGTCCATGTCCACGTACACGTCCACCACGTCCACTTCCACGTCCATGTCCACGTCCACGTCCACGTCCACGTCCACGTCCATGTCCACGTCCACGTCCACGTCCACGTCCATCTCCACGTCCACGTCCATGTCCACGTCCATGTCCACGTCCATGACCACGTCCATGTCCACGTCCATGTCCATGTCCACGTCCATGTCCACGTCCATGTCCACGTCCATGTCCACGTCCATCTCCACGTCCACGTCCATGTCCACGTCCATGTCCAAGTTCATGTCCACGTCCATGTCCATGTCCATGTCCATGTCCACGTCCACGTCCATGTCCACGTCCACGTCCACCACGTCCACGTCCACGTCCATGTCCACGTCCACGTCCACGTCCATGTCCATGTCCACGTCCACGTCCACGTCCACGTCCACGTCCATGTCCATGTCCACGTCCACGTCCACGTCCACGTCCACGTCCATGTCCACGTCCATGTCCACGTCCATGTCCACGTCCATGTCCACGTCCACGTCCATGTCCACGTCCACGTCCATGTCCATGTCCATGTCCACGTCCACGTCCACGTCCACGTCCATGTCCACGTCCAGGTCCATGTCCACGTCCATGTCCACGTCCACGTCGACGTCCACGTCCACGTCCATGTCCACGTCCACGTCCACCACGTCCACGTCCACGTCCATGTCCACGTCCATGTCCACGTCCATGTCCACGTCCACGTCCATGTCCACATCCATGTCCACGTCCACGTCCACGTCCACGTCCATGTCCACGTCCACGTCCACCACGTCCACGTCCACGTCCACGTCCATGTCCACGTCCACGTCCATGTCCACGTCCATGTCCACGTCCACGTCCACGTCCATGTCCACGTCCATGTCCACGTCCACGTCCACCACGTCCACGTCCACGTCCATGTCCACGTCCATGTCCACGTCCATGTCCACGTCCACATCCACGTCCACGTCCACGTCCATGTCCACGTCCATGTCCACGTCCATGTCCACGTCCACGTCCACGTCCACGTCCATGTCCACGTCCATGTCCACGTCCATGTCCACGTCCACATCCATGTCCACGTCAACGTCCATGTCCATGTCCATGTCCACGTCCACGTCCACGTCCATGTCCACGTCCACGTCCACGTCCATGTCTACGTCCATGTCCACCACGTCCACGTCCACGTCCACGTCCACGTCCACGTCCACGTCCATGTCCACGTCCACGTCCACGTCCAGGTCCATGTCCACGTCCACGTCCATGTCCACGTCCACGTCCACGTCCACGTCCATGTCCACGTCCAGGTCCATGTCCACGTCCACGTCCATGTCCACGTCCACGTCCACGTCCACGTCCATGTCCACGTCCATGTCCACATCCATGTCCACGTCCACGTCCATGTCCACGTCCATGTCCACGTCGAGGTCCACGTCCACGTCCACGTCTACGTCCATATCCACGTCCACGTCCACGTCCACGTCCTCGTCCACGTCCTCGTCCACATCCACCACGTCCACGTCCACGTCCACGTCCACGTCCATGTCCACGTCCATGTCCACGTCCACGTCCATGTCCACGTCCATGTTCACGTCCACGTCCACGTCCACGTCCAGGTCCACGTCCACGTCCACGTCCACGTCCACCACCATGTCCACGTCCACGTCCACGTCCACGTCCACGACCACGTCCACGTCCATGTCCACGTCCACGTCCATGTCCACGTCCATGTCCACGTCCACGTCCACGTCCATGTCCACGTCCACGTCCACGTCCACGTCCACCACCATGTCCCCGTCCACGTCCACGTCCATGTCCATGTCCACGTCCACGTCCAGGTCCATGTCCACGTCCACGTCCATGTCCCCGTCCACGTCCACGTCCACGTCCATGTCCACGTCCATGTCCATGTCCACGTCCATGTCCACGTCCATGTCCACGTCCACGTCCATGTCCACGTCCACGTCCACGTCCACGTCCACGTCCACGTCCATGTTCATGTCCATGTCCACGTCCTCGTCCACGTCCACGTCCACGTCCACGTCCACGTCCACGTCCACGTCCATGTCCACGTCCACGTCCACGTCTATGTCCACGTCCATGTCCACGTCCACGTCCATGTCCACGTCCATGTCCACGTCCACGTCCACGTCCACGTCCATGTCCACGTCCACGTCCACGTCCACGTCCACCACGTCCACGTCCACCACGTCCACGTCCACGTCCACGTCCACGTCCATGTCCACGTCCACGTCCACGTCACGTCCACGTCCTCGTCCACGTCCTCGTCCACGTCCACCGCGTCCACGTCCACGTCCACGTCCACGTCCATGTCCACGTCCACGTCCACGTCCATGTCCACGTCCATGTTCACGTCCACGTCCACGTCCACGTCCAGGTCCACCTCCATGTCCACGTCCACGTCCACGTCCACGACCATGTCCACGTCCACGTCCACGTCCACGTCCACGACCACGTCCACGTCCACGTCCACGTCCATGTCCACGTCCATGTCCACGTCCACGTCCACGTCCACGTCCACGTCCACGTCCACCACCATGTCCACGTCCACGTCCACGTCCATGTCCACGTCCACGTCCAGGTCCATGTCCACGTCCACGTCCATGTCCACGTCCACGTCCACGTCCACATCCATGTCCACGTCCATGTCCATGTCCACGTCCATGTCCACGTCCACGTCCATGTCCACGTCCATGTCCTTGTCCACGTCCATGTCCACGTCCACGTCCATGTTCATGTCCATGTCCACGTCCTCGTCCACGTCCACGTCCACGTCCATGTCCATGTCCACGTCCACGTCCATGTCCACGTCCATGTCCACGTCCACGTCCATGTCCACATCCATGTCCACGTCCACGTCCACGTCCACGTTCACGTCCATGTCCACGTCCACGTCCACGTCCACGTCCACCACGTCCACGTCCACCACGTCCACGTCCACATCCACGTCCATGTCCACGTCCATGTCCACGTCCACGTCCACGTCACGTCCATGTCCACGTCCACGTCAACGTCCATGTCCACGTCCACGTCCACGTCCACGTCCACGTCCATGTCCACGTCCACGTCCACGTCCACGTCCATGTCCACGTCCACGTCCACGTCCACGTCCATGTCCAGGTCCACGTCCACGTCCATGTCCACGTCCATGTCCACGTCCATGTCCACGTCCATGTCCACGTCCATGTCCACGTCCATGTCCACGTCCATGTCCACGTCCATGTCCATGTCCATGTCCATGTCCACGTCCACGTCCATGTCCACGTACACGTCCACCACGTCCACTTCCACGTCCATGTCCACGTCCACGTCCACGTCCACGTCCACGTCCATGTCCACGTCCACGTCCACGTCCACGTCCATCTCCACGTCCACGTCCATGTCCACGTCCATGTCCACGTCCATGACCACGTCCATGTCCACGTCCATGTCCATGTCCACGTCCATGTCCACGTCCATGTCCACGTCCATGTCCACGTCCATCTCCACGTCCACGTCCATGTCCACGTCCATGTCCACGTACACGTCCACCACGTCCACTTCCACGTCCATGTCCACGTCCACGTCCACGTCCACGTCCACGTCCATGTCCACGTCCACGTCCACGTCCACGTCCATCTCCACGTCCACGTCCATGTCCACGTCCATATCCACGTCCATGACCACGTCCATGTCCACGTCCATGTCCATGTCCACGTCCATGTCCACGTCCATGTCCACGTCCATGTCCACGTCCATCTCCACGTCCACGTCCATGTCCACGTCCATGTCCACGTCCATGTCCACATCCACGTCCACGTCCACGTCCACCTCCACGTCCACGTCCACGTCCACGTCCACATCCACGTCCACGTCCACGTCCATGTCCGTGTCCGTGTCCACATCCTGTCCACGTCCACGTCCACGTCCACGTCCACTTCCACGTCCACGTTCACGTCCACGTCCACGTCCACGTCCAGGTCCAGGTCCACGTCCACGTCCACGTCCACGTCAACGTCCATGTCCACGTCCATGTCCTCCACGTCCACGTCCACGTCCATGTCCACGTCCACGTCCACGTCCATGTCCACGTCCACGTCCACGTCCATGTCCACGTCCATGTCCACGTCCACGTCCATGTCCACGTCCATGTCCATGTCCACGTCCACGTCCACGTCCACGTCCATGTCCACGTCCATGACCACGTCCACGTCCATGTCCACGTCCATGTCCACGTCTATGTCCACGTTCATGTCCACGTCCATGCCACGTCCATGTCCACGTCCACGTCCACATCCACGTCCATGTCCACGTCCACGTCCATGTCCACGTCCATGTCCACGTCCACGTCCACGTCCACGTCCATGTCCACATCCAAGTCCTCCACGTCCACGTCCACGTCCATGTCTACGTCCACGTCCACGTCCGCGTCCATGTCCACGTCCACGTCCATGTCCACGTCCATGTCCACGTCCACGTCGATGTCCGCATCCATGTCCACGTCCACGTCCACGTCCACATCCATGTCCACGTCCACGTCCACGTCCATGTCCTCCACGTCCACGTCCACGTCCACGTCCATGTCCACGTCCACGTCCACGTCCATGTCCTCGACGTCCACGTCCACGTCCACGTCCACGTCCATGTCCACGTCCACGTCCACGTCCGTGTCCATGTCCACGTCCACGTCCACGTCCACGTCCATGTCCACGTCCGTGTCCTCCACGTCCACGTCCACGTCCATGTCCACGTCCACGTCCATGTCCACGTCCACGTCCACGTCCATGTCCACATCCACGTCCACGTCCACGTCCACGTCCACGTCCACGTCCACGTCCACGTCCACGTCCACGTCCACGTCCACGTCCACCTCCACGTCCACGTCCACGTCCACGTCCACATCCACGTCCACGTCCACGTCCATGTCCGTGTCCACGTCCACGTCCATGTCCGTGTCCACGTCCACGTCCATGTCCACGTCCAGGTCCACGTCCACGTCGATGTCCGCGTCCACGTCCATGTCCACGTCCACGTCCACGTCCACGTCCATGTCCATGTCCATGTCCATGTCCACGTCCGTGTCCATGTCCACGTCCACGTCCACGTCCGTGTCCACGTCCACGTCCACCTCCACGTCCACGTCCACGTCCACGTCCACATCCACGTCCACGTCCACGTCCATGTCCGTGTCCGTGTCCACGTCCTGTCCACGTCCACGTCCACGTCCACGTCCACTTCCACGTCCACGTTCACGTCCACGTCCACGTCCACGTCCAGGTCCAGGTCCACGTCCACGTCCACGTCCACGTCAACGTCCATGTCCACGTCCATGTCCTCCACGTCCACGTCCACGTCCATGTCCACGTCCACGTCCAAGTCCATGTCCACGTCCACGTCCACGTCAACGTCCACGTCCATGTCCACGTCCACGTCCATGTCCACGTCCATGTCCATGTCCACGTCCACGTCCACGTCCACGTCCATGTCTACGTCCATGACCACGTCCACGTCCATGTCCACGTCCATGTCCATGTCCATGTCCACGTTCATGTCCACGTCCATGCCACGTCCATGTCCACGTCCACGTCCACATCCACGTCCATGTCCACGTCCACGTCCATGTCCACGTCCATGTCCACGTCCACGTCCACGTCCACGTCCATGTCCACATCCAAGTCCTCCACGTCCACGTCCACGTCCATGTCTACGTCCACGTCCACGTCCATGTCCACGTCCACGTCCATGTCCACGTCCATGTCCACGTCCACGTCGATGTCCGCATCGATGTCCACGTCCACGTCCACGTCCATATCCATGTCCACGTCCACGTCCACGTCCACGTCCATGTCCATGTCCACGTCCATGTCCTCCACGTCCACGTCCACGTCCATGTCCACGTCCACGTCCACGTCCATGTCCATGTCGACGTCCACGTACGTGTCCATGTCCACGTCCACGTCCACGTCCACGTCCATGTCCACGTCCGTGTCCTCCACGTCTACGTCCACGTCCATGTCCACGTCCACGTCCATGTCCACGTCCACGTCCATGTCCACGTCCACGTCCACGTCCACGTCAACGTCCATGTCCACGTCCACGTCCACGTCCACGTCCACGTCCATGTCCACGTCCACGTCCACGTCCACGTCCATGTCCATGTCCACGTCCACGTCCACGTCCACGTCCATGTCAACGTCCATGTCCTCCACGTCCACGTCCACGTCCATGTCCACGTCCACGTCCACGTCCACGTCCACGTCCATGTCCACGTCCACGTCCACGTCCACGTCCACGTCCACGTCCACGTCCATGTCCACGTCCACGTCCATGTCCACGTCCATGTCCACGTCCACGTCGATGTCCGCGTCCATGTCCACGTCCACATCCATGTCCACGTCCACGTCCACGTCCACGTGCACGTCCATGTCCACGTCCTCCACGTCCACATCCACGTCCATGTCCAGGTCCACGTCCACGTCCATGTCCAGGTCCATGTCCATGTCCACGTCCGTGTCCATGTCCACGTCCACGTCCATGTCCACGTCCATGTCCACGTCCACGTCCATGTCCACGTCCATGTCCACGTCCATGTCCACGTCAATGTCCACGTCCATGTCCACGTCCATGTCCTCCACGTCCACGTCCACGTCCATGTCCACGTCCACGTCCACGTCCATGTCCACGTCCACGTCCACGTCCATGTCCATGTCCACGTCCATGTCCACGTCCACGTCCATGTCCACGTCCAGGTCCACGTCCATGTCCACATTTACGTCCATGTCCACGTCCACGTCCACGTCCACGTCCATGTCCACATCCAAGTCCTCCACGTCCACGTCCACGTCCATGTCCACGTCCACGTCCACGTCCATGTCCACGTCCACGTCCATGTCCACGTCCATGTCCACGTCCACGTCCATGTCCACGTCCATGTCCACGTCCACGTCGATGTCCGCGTCCATGTCCACGTCCACGTCCACGTCCACATCCATGTCCACGTCCACGTCCATGTCCACGTCCACGTCCATGTCCACGTCCATGTCCTCCACGTCCACGTCCATGTCCACGTCCACGTCTACGTCCATGTCCACGTCCACGTCTACGTCCACGTCCACGTCCGTGTCCATGTCCACGTCCACGTCCACGTCCATGTCCACGTCCACGTCCACGTCCATGTCCACGTCCACGTCCATGTCCACGTCCACGTCCATGTCCATGTCCACGTCCATGTCCTCCACGTCTACGTCCACGTCCATGTCCACGTCCACGTCCACGTCCACGTCCATGTCCACGTCCACGTCCACGTCCATGTCCACGTCCATGTCCACGTCCACGTCCATGTCCACGTCCACGTCCATGTCGACGTCCACGTCCACGTCCATGTCCACGTCCACGTCCACGTCCACGTCCATGTCCACGTCCACGTCCATGTCCACGGCCACGTCCACGTCCACGTCCATGTCCACGTCCATGTCCACGTCCACGTCCACGTCCACGTCCACGTCCATGTCCACGTCCACGTCCACGTCCATGTCCATGTCCACGTCCACGTCCACGTCCATGTCCACGTCCATGTCCACGTCCACGTCCATGTCCGCGTCCATGTCCATGTCCACGTCCACGTCCACGTCCACGTCCACGTCTATGTCCACATCCAAGTCCTCCACGTCCACGTCCACGTCCATGTCCACGTCCACGTCCATGTCCACGTCCATGTCCACGTCCACGTCCACGTCCTTGTCCACGTCCACGTCCACGTCCATGTCCACGTTCACGTCCATGTCCACGTCAACGTCCACGTCCACGTCCACATCAACGTCCACGTCCACGTCCATGTCCATGTCCACGTCCACGTCGACGTTCACGTCCATGTCTACGTCCACGTCCACGTCCATGTCCACGTCCACGTCCACATCCATGTCCACGTCCACGTCCACGTCCACGTCCACGTCCATGTCCACGTCCATGTCCACGTCCACGTCCATGTCCACGTCCACGTCCATGTCCACGTCCATGTCCACGGCCATGTCCACGTCCACGTCCACGGCCATGTCCACGTCCACGTCCACGTCCACGTCCACGGCCATGTCCACGTCCACGTCCATGTCCACGGCCACGTCCACGTCCACGTCCATGTCCACGTCCACGTCCATGTCCATTCCACGTCCACGTCCACGTCCACGTCCACGTCCACGTCCATGTCCACGTCCACCACCACGTCCACGTCCACGTCCATGTCCACGTCCACGTCCGTGTCCACGTCCACGTCCATGTCCACGTCCACGTCCATGTCCATGTCCACGTCCATGTCCTCCACGTCTACGTCCACGTCCATGTCCACGTCCACGTCCACGTCTACGTCCACGTCCATGTCCACGTCCACGTCCACGTCCATGTCCACGTCCATGTCCACGTCCACGTCCATGTCCACGTCCACGTCCATGTCCACGTCCATGTCCACGGCCATGTCCACGTCCACGTCCACGGCCATGTCCACGTCCACGTCCACGTCCACGGCCATGTCCACGTCCACGTCCATGTCCACGGCCACGTCCACGTCCACGTCCATGTCCACGTCCACGTCCATGTCCACGTCCACGTCCACGTCCATGTCCACGTCCACGTCCACGTCCACGTCCACGTCCATGTCCACGTCCATGTCCACGTCCACGTCCATGTCCGCGTCCATGTCCATGTCCACGTCCACGTCCACGTCCACGTCCACGTCTATGTCCACATCCAAGTCCTCCACGTCCACGTCCACGTCCATGTCCACGTCCACGTCCATGTCCACGTCCATGTCCACGTCCACGTCCACGTCCTTGTCCACGTCCACGTCCACGTCCATGTCCACGTCCACGTCCATGTCCACATCAACGTCCACGTCCACGTCCACGTCAACGTCCACGTCCACGTCCATGTCCATGTCCACGTCCACGTCGACGTTCACGTCCATGTCTACGTCCACGTCCACGTCCATGTCCACGTCCACGTCCATGTCCGCGTCCATGTCCACGTCCACGTCGATGTCCGCGTCCATGTCCATGTCCACGTCCACATCCATGTCCACGTCTACGTCCACGTCCATGTCCACGTCCATGTCCTCCACGTCCACGTCCACGTCCATGTCCACGTCCACGTCCACGTCCACGTCCGTGTCCAGGTCCACGTCCACGTCAGTGTCCACGTCCACGTCCGTGTTCACGTCCACGTCCACGTCCACGTCCACGTCCACGTCCACGTCCAGGTCCACGTCCAGGTCCACGTCCACGTCCACGTCCAGGTCCACGTCCACGTCCAGGTCCATGTCCACGTCCACGTCCACGTCCACGTCCACGTCCATTTCCACGTCCAAGTCCTCCACGTCCACGTCCACGTCCATGTCCATTCCACGTCCACGTCCACGTCCACGTCCACGTCCACGTCCATGTCCACGTCCACGTCCACGTCCACGTCCATGTCCACGTCCACGTCCACGTCCACGTCCATGTCCACGTCCAAGTCCACGTCCACGTCCACGTCCAAGTCCACGTCCATGTCCACGTCCAAGTCCACGTCCATGTCCACGTCAACGTCCACGTCCACGTCCACGTCCACGTCCATGTCCACGTCCACGTCCATGTCCATGTCCACGTCCATGTCCACGTCCACGTCCATGTCCACGTCCAAGTCCTCCACGTCCACGTCCACGTCCACGTCCACGTCCATGTCCACGTCCACGTCCATGTCCATGTCCACGTCCACGTCCACGTCCACGTCCACGTCCACGTCCACGTCCACGTCCACGTCCATGTCCACGTCCACGTCCACGTCCACGTCCATGTCCACGTCCACGTCCACGTCCATGTCCACGTCCACGTCCACGACCATGTCCACGTCCACGTCCACGTCCATGTCCACGTCCACGTCCACGTCCACGTCCAAGTTTACGTCCACGTCCACGTCCACGTCCACGTCCATCTCCACGTCCACGTCCACGTCAACGTCCACGTCTATGTCCACGTCCTCCACGTCCATGTCCACGTCCACGTCCACGTCCACGTCCACGTCCACGACCAGGTCCACGTCCACGTCCACGACCATGTCCACGTCCACGACCAGGTCCACGTCCACGACCACGTCCACGTCCACGACCACGTCCACGACCATGTCCACGTCCACGTCCACGTCCACGTCCATGTCCACGTCCAGGTCCACGTCCACGTCCACGTCCAGGTCCACGTCCACGTCCACGTCCACACGTCCACGTCCACGTCCACACGTCCACGTCCACATCCACGTCCACGACCACGTCCACGACCACGTCCACGACCACGTCCACGTCCACGTCCACGTCCAGGTCCACGTCCACGTCCACGTCCACGTCCACGTCCACGTCCACGTCCATGTCCACGTCCACGTCCACGTCCACGTCCACGTCCATGTCCACGTCCAGGTCCACGTCCACGTCCACTTCCAGGTCCACGTCCACGTCCACGTCCACGTCCACGTCCACACGTCCACGTCCACGTCCACGTCCACACGTCCACGTCCACATCCACGTCCACATCCACGTCCACGACCACGTCCACGACCACGTCCACGACCACGTCCACGTCCACGTCCACGTCCAGGTCCACGTCCACGTCCACGTCCACGTCCACGTCCACGTCCACGTCCACGTCCATGTCCACGTCCGTGTCCTCCACGTCCACGTCCACGTCCATGTCGACGTCCACGTCCATGTCCACGTCCACGTCAACGTCCATGTCCACATCCACGTCCACGTCCACGTCCACGTCCACGTCCACGTCCAAGGGTTTAGGGTTTAGGGTTTAGGGTTTAGGGTTTAGGGTTTAGGGTTTATGCCGACGTCCACGTCCACGTCCACGTCCACGTCCATGTCCACGTCCACGTCCACGTCCACGTCCACGTCCATGTCCACGTCCACGTCCACGTCCATGTCCACGTCCGTGTCCTCCACGTCCACGTCCACGTCCACGTCCACGTCCATGTCCACGTCCACGTCCACGTCCACGTCCACGTCCATGTCCACGTCCACGTCCACGTCCACGTCCACGTCCATGTCCACGTCCAAGTTTACGTCCACGTCCACGTCCACGTCCACGTCAACGTCCACGTCCATGTCCACGTCCTCCACGTCCATGTCCACGTCCACGTCCACGTCCACGTCCACGACCAGGTCCACGTCCACGTCCACGACCATGTCCACGTCCACGACCAGGTCCACGTCCACGACCACGTCCACGTCCACGACCACGTCCACGACCATGTCCACGTCCACGTCCACGTCCACGTCCATGTCCACGTCCAGGTCCACGTCCACGTCCAGGTCCACGTCCACGTCCACGTCCACACGTCCACGTCCACGTCCACACGTCCACGTCCACATCCACGTCCACGACCACGTCCACGACCACCTCCACGACCACGTCCACGTCCACGTCCACGTCCAGGTCCACGTCCACGTCCACGTCCACGTCCACGTCCACGTCCACGTCCATGTCCACGTCCACGTCCACGTCCACGTCCACGTCCATGTCCACGTCCAGGTCCACGTCCACGTCCACGTCCAGGTCCAGGTCCACGTCCACGTCCACGTCCACGTCCACACGTCCACGTCCACGTCCACACGTCCACGTCCACATCCACGTCCACGACCACGTCCACGACCACGTCCACGACCACGTCCACGTCCACGTCCAGGTCCACGTCCACGTCCACGTCCACGTCCACGTCCACGTCCACGTCCATGTCCACGTCCGTGTCCTCCACGTCCACGTCCACGTCCATGTCCACGTCCACGTCCATGTCCACGTCCACGTCAACGTCCATGTCCACATCCACGTCCACGTCCACGTCCACGTCCATGTCCACGTCCAAGGGTCTAGGGTTTAGGGTTTAGGGTTTAGGGTTTAGGGTTTAGGGTTTAGGGTTTAGGGTTTAGGGTTTAGGGTTTAGGGTCTATGCCGACGTGGACGTGGACATGGACGCGGACATGGACGTGGACGTGGACATGGACGTGGACGTGGACGTAGACATGGACGTGAACGTCGACGTGGACGTGGACATGGACATGGACGTGGACGTGGACGTTGACGTGGACGTGGACGTGGACGTTGACGTGGACATGGACGTGGACGTGGACATGGACGTGGACGTGGACGTGGACAAGGACGTGGACGTGGACGTGGACATGGACGTGGACATGGACGTGGACGTGGACATGGACGTGGACGTGGAGGACTTGGATGTGGACATAGACGTGGACGTGGACGTGGACATGGACATGGACGCGGACATGGACGTGGACGTGGACATGGACGTGGACATGGACGTGGACGTGGACGTGGACGTGGACGTGGACGTGGACGTGGACATGGACGTGGACGTGGACATGGACGTGGACGTGGACGTGGCCGTGGACATGGACGTGGACGTGGACATGGCCGTGGACGTGGACGTGGACGTGGACGTGGACATGGCCGTGGACGTGGACGTGGACATGGCCGTGGACATGGACGTGGACATGGACGTGGACGTGGACATGGACGTGGACGTGGACATGGACGTGGACATGGACGTGGACGTGGACGTGGACATGGACGTGGACGTGGACGTGGACGTGGACATGGACGTGGACGTAGACGTGGAGGACATGGACGTGGACATGGACATGGACGTGGACGTGGACATGGACGTGGACGTGGACACGGACGTGGACGTGGACGTGGACATGGACGTGGACGTGGACGTGGTGGTGGACGTGGACATGGACGTGGACGTGGACGTGGACGTGGACGTGGAATGGACATGGACGTGGACGTGGACATGGACGTGGACGTGGACGTGGCCGTGGACATGGACGTGGACGTGGACATGGCCGTGGACGTGGACGTGGACGTGGACGTGGACATGGCCGTGGACGTGGACGTGGACATGGACGTGGACATGGCCGTGGACATGGACGTGGACATGGACGTGGACGTGGACATGGACGTGGACGTGGACATGGACGTGGACATGGACGTGGACGTGGACGTGGACGTGGACATGGACGTGGACGTGGACGTGGACGTGGACATGGACATGGACGTGGACGTGGATATGGACGTGGACGTGGACATGGACGTGGACGTGGACGTGGACATGGACGTGGACGTGGACATGGACGTGGACGTGGACGTGGTGGTGGACGTGGACATGGACGTGGACGTGGACGTGGACGTGGACGTGGACGTGGAATGGACGTGGACATGGACGTGGACGTGGACGTGGACGTGGACGTGGACATGGACCTTGACGTGGACGTGGACCTGGACGTGGACGTGGACGTGGACCTGGACGTGGACCTGGACGTGGACGTGGACGTGGACGTGGACATGGACGTGGACGTGGACACGGACATGGACGTGGACCTGGACACGGACGTGGACGTGGACGTGGACGTGGACATGGACGTGGACGTGGACGTGGAGGACATGGACGTGGACATGGACGTGGACGTGGACGTGGACATGGATGTGGACGTGGACATGGACATGGACGCGGACATCGACGTGGACGTGGACATGGACGCGGACATGGACGTGGACGTGGACATGGACGTGGACGTGGACGTAGACATGGACGTGAACGTCCACGTGGACGTGGACATGGACATGGACGTGGACGTGGACGTTGATGTGGACGTGGACGTGGACGTTGACGTGGACATGGACGTGGACGTGGACATGGACGTGGACGTGGACGTGGACAAGGACGTGGACGTGGACGTGGACATGGACGTGGACATGGACGTGGACGTGGACATGGACGTGGACGTGGACGTGGAGGACTTGGATGTGGACATAGACGTGGACGTGGACGTGGACGTGGACGTGGACATGGACATGGACGCGGACATGGACGTGGACGTGGACATGGACGTGGACATGGACGTGGACGTGGACGTGGACGTGGACGTGGACATGGACGTGGACGTGGACGTGGACATGGACGTGGACGTGGACATGGACGTGGACGTGGACGTGGCCGTGGACATGGACGTGGACGTGGAAATGGACGTGGACGTGGACGTGGACGTGGACATGGACGTGGACGTGGACGTGGACATGGACGTGGACGTGGACATGGACGTGGACGTGGACATGGACGTGGACATGGACGTGGACGTGGACGTGGACGTGGACGTGGACATGGACGTGGACGTAGACGTGGAGGACATGGACGTGGACATGGACATGGACGTGGACGTGGACATGGACGTGGACGTGGACATGGACGTGGACGTGGACGTGGACATGGACGTGGACGTGGACGTGGACATGGACACGGACGTGGACGTGGACGTAGACGTGGACGTGGACATGGACGTAGACGTGGACGTGGACATGGACGTGGACGTGGAGGACATGGACGTGGACATGGACGTGGACGTGGACGTGGACGTGGACATGGATGTGGACGTGGACGTGGACGTGGACATGGACGCGGACATCGACGTGGACGTGGACATGGACGTGGACATGGACGTGGACGTGGACATGGACGTGGACATGGACGTGGACGTGGACATGGACGTGGACGTGGACGTGGACATGGACGTGGACGTGGACGTGGAGGACTTGGATGTGGACATGGACGTGGACGTAGACGTGGACGTGGACGTGGACGTAAATGTGGACATGGACGTGGACCTGGACGTGGACATGGACGTGGACGTGGACATGGACGTGGACATGGACATGGACGTGGACGTGGACGTGGACATGGACGTGGACGTGGACGTGGACATGGACGTGGACGTGGACGTGGAGGACATGGACGTGGACATGGACGTGGACATTGACGTGGACATGGACGTGGACATGGACGTGGACATGGACGTGGACGTGGACATGGACGTGGACATGGACGTGGACGTGGACATGGACACGGACGTGGACATGGACATGGACCTGGACATGGACGTGGACGTGGACCTGGACATGGACGTGGATGTGGACGTGGAGGACGTGGACATGGACGTGCACGTGGACGTGGACGTGGACGTGGACATGGATGTGGACGTGGACATGGACGCGGACATCGACGTGGACGTGGACATGGACGTGGACATGGACGTGGACGTGGACATGGACGTGGACGTGGACGTGGACGTGGACGTGGACGTGGACATGGACGTGGACGTGGACGTGGACGTGGACGTGGACATGGACGTGGACGTGGACGTGGAGGACATGGACGTTGACATGGACGTGGACGTGGACGTGGACGTGGACATGGACATGGACGTGGACGTGGACGTGGACGTGGACATGGACGTGGACGTGGACGTGGACGTGGACGTGGACATGGACGTTGACGTGGACGTGGACGTGGACGTGGACATGGACGTGGACGTGGACATGGACGTGGACGTGGACATGGACGTGGACGTAGACGTGGAGGACACGGACGTGGACATGGACGTGGACGTGGACGTGGACGTGGACATGGACACGTACGTGGACGTGGACATGGACATGGACGTGGACGTGGACGTGGACATGGACGTGGACGTGGACGTGGAGGACATGGACGTGGACATGGACATGGACGTGGACGTGGACGTGGACGTGGAAATGGATGTGGACGTGGACGTGGACGTGGACATCGATGCGGACATCGACGTGGACGTGGACATGGACGTGGACATGGACGTGGACGTGGACATGGACGTGGACGTGGACGTAGACATGGACGTGGACGTGGACGTGGAGGACTTGGATGTGGACATGGACGTGGACGTGGACGTGGACGTGGACATGGACGTGGACATGGACGTGGACGTGGACATGGACGTGGATGTGGACGTGGACGTGGACATGGACGTGGCATGGACGTGGACATGAACGTGGACATGGACATGGACATGGACGTGGACATGGACGTGGACGTGGTCATGGACGTGGACGTTGACGTGGACGTGGACGTGGACATGGACTTGGACGTGGACGTGGACATGGACGTGGACGTGGACGTGGAGGACATGGACGTGGACATGGACGTTGAGGTGGACGTGGACGTGGACGTGGACCTGGACCTGGACGTGGACGTGGACGTGGACGTGAACGTGGACGTGGAAGTGGACGTGGACGTGGACGTGGACGTGGACAGGACGTGGACACGGACACGGACATGGACGTGGACGTGGACGTGGATGTGGACGTGGACGTGGACGTGGACGTGGAGGTGGACGTGGACGTGGACACGGACGTGGACGTGGACGTGGACATGGACACGGACGTGGACATGGACATGGACATGGACATGGACGTGGACGTGGACGTGGACGTGGACATGGACGTGGACGTGGACGTGGACGTGGACGTGGACCTGGACGCGGACATCGACGTGGACGTGGACCTGGACGTGGACATGGACGTGGACGTGGACACGGACATGGACGTGGACGTGGACGTGGATGTGGACGTGGACGTGGACGTGGACGTGGAGGTGGACGTGGACGTGGACGTGGACGTGGACATGGACGTGGACGTGGACGTGGACGTGGACATGGACGTGGACGTGGACGTGGACGTGGATGTGGACATGGACGTTGACGTGGACGTGGACATGGACGTGGACGTGGACATGGACGTGGACGTGGACGTGGAGGACACGGACGTGGACATGGACGTGGACGTGGACGTGGACGTGGACATGGACACGGACGTGGACGTGGACGTGGACATGGACGTGGACGTGGACGTGGACGTGGACGTGGAGGACATGGACGTGGACGTGGACGTGGACATGGACGTGGACGTGGACGTGGACGTGGACGTGGAGGACATGGACGTGGACGTGGACGTGGACATGGATGTGGACGTGGACGTGGACGTGGACATGGATGCGGACATCGACGTGGACGTGGACATGGACGTGGACATGGACGTGGACGTGGACATGGACGCGGACGTGGACGTGGACGTAGACATGGACGTGGACGTGGACGTGGAGGACTTGGATGTGGACATGGACGTGGACGTGGACGTGGACGTGGACATGGACGTGGACATGGACGTGGACGTGGACATGGACGTGGATGTGGACGTGGACGTGGACATGGACGTGGCATGGACGTGGACATGAACGTGGACATAGACGTGGACATGGACGTGGACATGGACGTGGACGTGGTCATGGACGTGGACATGGACGTGGACGTGGACGTGGACGTGGACATGGACATGGACGTGGACATGGACGTGGACGTGGACATGGACGTGGACATGGACGTGGACGTGGACGTGGACATGGACGTGGACGTGGACGTGGACATGGACGTGGACGTGGACGTGGAGGACATGGACGTGGACATGGACGTTGACGTGGACGTGGACGTGGACTTGGACGTGGACCTGGACGTGGACGTGGACGTGGACGTGAACGTGGACATGGACGTGGACGTGGACGTGGACATGGACGTGGACGTAGACGTGGACGTGGACGTGGATGTGGACGTAGACATAGACGTAGACGTGGACGTGGACGTGGACATGGACGTGGACGTGGACGTGGAGGTGGATGTGGACGTGGACATGGACGTGGACGTGGACGTGGACATGGACGTGGACGTGGACGTGGACGTGGACGTGGACGTGGACGTGGATGTGGACATGGACGTGGACGTGGACATGGACGTGGACGTGGACATGGACGTGGACATGGACGTGGACGTGGACGTGGACATGGACGTGGACGTGGACGTGGACGTGGACATGGACGTGGACGTAGACGTGGAGGACATGGACGTGGACATGGACATGGACGTGGACGTGGACATGGACGTGGACGTGGACACGGACGTGGACGTGGACGTGGACATGGACGTGGACGTGGACGTGGTGGTGGACGTGGACATGGACGTGGACGTGGACGTGGACGTGGACGTGGAATGGACATGGACGTGGACGTGGACATGGACGTGGACGTGGACGTGGCCGTGGACATGGACGTGGACGTGGACATGGCCGTGGACGTGGACGTGGACGTGGACGTGGACATGGCCGTGGACGTGGACGTGGACATGGACGTGGACATGGCCGTGGACATGGACGTGGACATGGACGTGGACGTGGACATGGACGTGGACGTGGACATGGACGTGGACATGGACGTGGACCGTGGACGTGGACGTGGACATGGACATGGACGTGGACGTGGATATGGACGTGGATGTCGACGTGGCCCTAGACGTGGACATGGACGTGGACGTGGACGTGGACATGGACGTGGACGTGGACATGGACGTGGACGTGGACGTGGTGGTGGACGTGGACATGGACGTGGACGTGGACGTGGACGTGGACGTGGACGTGGAATGGACGTGGACATGGACGTGGACGTGGACGTGGACGTGGACGTGGACATGGACCTTGACGTGGACGTGGACCTGGACGTGGACGTGGACGTGGACCTGGACGTGGACCTGGACGTGGACGTGGACGTGGACGTGGACATGGACGTGGACGTGGACACGGACATGGACGTGGACCTGGACACGGACGTGGACGTGGACGTGGACGTGGACATGGACGTGGACGTGGACGTGGAGGACATGGACGTGGACATGGACGTGGACGTGGACGTGGACATGGATGTGGACGTGGACATGGACATGGACGCGGACATCGACGTGGACGTGGACATGGACGCGGACATGGACGTGGACGTGGACATGGACGTGGACGTGGACGTAGACATGGACGTGAACGTCCACGTGGACGTGGACATGGACATGGACGTGGACGTGGACGTTGATGTGGACGTGGACGTGGACGTTGACGTGGACATGGACGTGGACGTGGACATGGACGTGGACGTGGACGTGGACAAGGACGTGGACGTGGACGTGGACATGGACGTGGACATGGACGTGGACGTGGACATGGACGTGGACGTGGACGTGGAGGACTTGGATGTGGACATAGACGTGGACGTGGACGTGGACGTGGACGTGGACATGGACATGGACGCGGACATGGACGTGGACGTGGACATGGACGTGGACATGGACGTGGACGTGGACGTGGACGTGGACGTGGACATGGACGTGGACGTGGACGTGGACATGGACGTGGACGTGGACATGGACGTGGACGTGGACGTGGCCGTGGACATGGACGTGGACGTGGAAATGGACGTGGACGTGGACGTGGACGTGGACATGGACGTGGACGTGGACGTGGACATGGACGTGGACGTGGACATGGACGTGGACGTGGACATGGACGTGGACATGGACGTGGACGTGGACGTGGACGTGGACGTGGACGTGGACGTGGACATGGACGTGGACGTAGACGTGGAGGACATGGACGTGGACATAGACGTGGACATGGACGTGGAGGACATGGACGTGGACATGGACATGGACGTGGACGTGGACATGGACGTGGACATGGACATGGACGTGGACGTGGACGTGGACATGGACGTGGACGTGGACGTGGACATGGACACGGACGTGGACGTGGACGTAGACGTGGACGTGGACATGGACGTAGACGTGGACGTGGACATGGACGTGGACGTGGAGGACATGGACGTGGACATGGACGTGGACGTGGACGTGGACGTGGACATGGATGTGGACGTGGACGTGGACGTGGACATGGACGCGGACATCGACGTGGACGTGGACATGGACGTGGACATGGACGTGGACGTGGACATGGACGTGGACATGGACGTGGACGTGGACATGGACGTGGACGTGGACGTGGACATGGACGTGGACGTGGACGTGGAGGACTTGGATGTGGACATGGACGTGGACGTAGACGTGGACGTGGACGTGGACGTAAATGTGGACATGGACGTGGACCTGGACGTGGACATGGACGTGGACGTGGACATGGACGTGGACATGGACATGGACGTGGACGTGGACGTGGACATGGACGTGGACGTGGACGTGGACATGGACGTGGACGTGGACGTGGAGGACATGGACGTGGACATGGACGTGGACATTGACGTGGACATGGACGTGGACATGGACGTGGACATGGACGTGGACGTGGACATGGACGTGGACATGGACGTGGACGTGGACATGGACACGGACGTGGACATGGACATGGACCTGGACATGGACGTGGACGTGGACCTGGACATGGACGTGGATGTGGACGTGGAGGACGTGGACATGGACGTGCACGTGGACGTGGACGTGGACGTGGACATGGATGTGGACGTGGACATGGACGCGGACATCGACGTGGACGTGGACATGGACGTGGACATGGACGTGGACGTGGACATGGACGTGGACGTGGACGTGGACGTGGACGTGGACGTGGACGTGGACATGGACGTGGACGTGGACGTGGACGTGGACGTGGACATGGACGTGGACGTGGACGTGGAGGACATGGACGTTGACATGGACGTGGACGTGGACGTGGACGTGGACATGGACATGGACGTGGACGTGGACGTGGACGTGGACATGGACGTGGACGTGGACGTGGACGTGGACGTGGACATGGACGTTGACGTGGACGTGGACGTGGACGTGGACATGGACGTGGACGTGGACATGGACGTGGACGTGGACATGGACGTGGACGTAGACGTGGAGGACACGGACGTGGACATGGACGTGGACGTGGACGTGGACGTGGACATGGACACGTACGTGGACGTGGACATGGACATGGACGTGGACGTGGACGTGGACATGGACGTGGACGTGGACGTGGAGGACATGGACGTGGACATGGACATGGACGTGGACGTGGACGTGGACGTGGAAATGGATGTGGACGTGGACGTGGACGTGGACATCGATGCGGACATCGACGTGGACGTGGACATGGACGTGGACATGGACGTGGACGTGGACATGGACGTGGACGTGGACGTAGACATGGACGTGGACGTGGACGTGGAGGACTTGGATGTGGACATGGACGTGGACGTGGACGTGGACGTGGACATGGACGTGGACATGGACGTGGACGTGGACATGGACGTGGATGTGGACGTGGACGTGGACATGGACGTGGCATGGACGTGGACATGAACGTGGACATGGACATGGACATGGACGTGGACATGGACGTGGACGTGGTCATGGACGTGGACGTTGACGTGGACGTGGACGTGGACATGGACTTGGACGTGGACGTGGACATGGACGTGGACGTGGACGTGGAGGACATGGACGTGGACATGGACGTTGAGGTGGACGTGGACGTGGACGTGGACCTGGACCTGGACGTGGACGTGGACGTGGACGTGAACGTGGACGTGGAAGTGGACGTGGACGTGGACGTGGACGTGGACAGGACGTGGACACGGACACGGACATGGACGTGGACGTGGACGTGGATGTGGACGTGGACGTGGACGTGGACGTGGAGGTGGACGTGGACGTGGACACGGACGTGGACGTGGACGTGGACATGGACACGGACGTGGACATGGACATGGACATGGACATGGACGTGGACGTGGACGTGGACGTGGACATGGACGTGGACGTGGACGTGGACGTGGACGTGGACCTGGACGCGGACATCGACGTGGACGTGGACCTGGACGTGGACATGGACGTGGACGTGGACACGGACATGGACGTGGACGTGGACGTGGATGTGGACGTGGACGTGGACGTGGACGTGGAGGTGGACGTGGACGTGGACGTGGACGTGGACATGGACGTGGACGTGGACGTGGACGTGGACATGGACGTGGACGTGGACGTGGACGTGGATGTGGACATGGACGTTGACGTGGACGTGGACATGGACGTGGACGTGGACATGGACGTGGACGTGGACGTGGAGGACACGGACGTGGACATGGACGTGGACGTGGACGTGGACGTGGACATGGACACGGACGTGGACGTGGACGTGGACATGGACGTGGACGTGGACGTGGACGTGGACGTGGAGGACATGGACGTGGACGTGGACGTGGACATGGACGTGGACGTGGACGTGGACGTGGACGTGGAGGACATGGACGTGGACGTGGACGTGGACATGGATGTGGACGTGGACGTGGACGTGGACATGGATGCGGACATCGACGTGGACGTGGACATGGACGTGGACATGGACGTGGACGTGGACATGGACGCGGACGTGGACGTGGACGTAGACATGGACGTGGACGTGGACGTGGAGGACTTGGATGTGGACATGGACGTGGACGTGGACGTGGACGTGGACATGGACGTGGACATGGACGTGGACGTGGACATGGACGTGGATGTGGACGTGGACGTGGACATGGACGTGGCATGGACGTGGACATGAACGTGGACATAGACGTGGACATGGACGTGGACATGGACGTGGACGTGGTCATGGACGTGGACATGGACGTGGACGTGGACGTGGACGTGGACATGGACATGGACGTGGACATGGACGTGGACGTGGACATGGACGTGGACATGGACGTGGACGTGGACGTGGACATGGACGTGGACGTGGACGTGGACATGGACGTGGACGTGGACGTGGAGGACATGGACGTGGACATGGACGTTGACGTGGACGTGGACGTGGACTTGGACGTGGACCTGGACGTGGACGTGGACGTGGACGTGAACGTGGACATGGACGTGGACGTGGAAGTGGATGTGAACGTGGACGTGGACCTGGACGTGGACGTGAACGTGGACACAGACGTGGACGTGGACGTGGACCTGGACGCGGACATCGACGTGGACGTGGACCTGGACGTGGACATGGACGTGGACGTGGACCTGGACGTGGACGTGGACGTGGAGGTGGACGTGGACGTGGACGTGGACGTGGACGTGGACGTGGACATGGACGTGGACGTGGACATGGACGTGGACGTGGACCTGGACGTGGACGTGGACACGGACGTGGACACGGACGTGGACGTGGACGTGGACGTGGACGTGGACATGGACGTGGACGTGGACGTGGAGGAGGACATGGACGTGGACATGGACGTGGACGTGGACGTGGACGCGGACGTGGACGTGGACGTGGACGTGGACGCGGACATCGACGTGGACGTGGACATGGAGGTGGACGTGGACGTGGACGTGGACATGGACGTGGACGTGGACGTAGACATGGACGTGGACGTGGACGTGGAGGACTTGGATGTGGACATGGACGTGGACGTGGACGTGGACGTGGACATGGACGTGGACATGGACGTGGACGTGGACATGGACGTGGATGTGGACGTGGACGTGGACATGGACGTGGCATGGACGTGGACATGAACGTGGACATGGACGTGGACATGGACGTGGACATGGACGTGGACGTGGTCATGGACGTGGACATGGACGTGGACGTGGACGTGGACGTGGACATGGACATGGACGTGGACATGGACACGGACGTGGACATGGACGTGGACATGGACGTGGACGTGGACGTGGACATGGACGTGGACGTGGACGTGGACATGGACGTGGACATGGACGTTGACGTGGACGTGGACGTGGACGTGGACTTGGACGTGGACCTGGACGTGGACGTGGACGTGGACGTGAACGTGGACATGGACGTGGACGTGGACGTGGATGTGAACGTGGACGTGGACCTGGACGTGGACGTGAACGTGGACACAGACGTGGACGTGGACGTGGACCTGGACGCGGACATCGACGTGGACGTGGACCTGGACGTGGACATGGACGTGGACGTGGACCTGGAGGACATGGACGTGGACATGGACGTTGACGTGGACGTGGACGTGGACGTGGACTTGGACGTGGACCTGGACGTGGACGTGGACGTGGACGTGAACGTGGACATGGACGTGGACGTGGACGTGGATGTGAACGTGGACGTGGACCTGGACGTGGACGTGAACGTGGACACAGACGTGGACGTGGACGTGGACCTGGACGCGGACATCGACGTGGACGTGGACCTGGACGTGGACATGGACGTGGACGTGGACCTGGACGTGGACGTGGACGTGGACGTGGATGTGGACGTGGACGTGGACGTGGACGTGGAGGTGGACGTGGACGTGGACGTGGACGTGGACGTGGACGTGGAGGTGGACGTGGACGTGGACGTGGACGTGGACGTGGACGTGGACATGGACGTGGACGTGGACGTGGACGTGGACAGGGACACGGACGTGGACGTGGACACGGACGTGGACACGGACGTGGACGTGGACGTGGACGTGGACGTGGACGTGGACATGGACGTGGACGTGGACGTGGAGGAGGACATGGACGTGGACATGGACGTGGACGTGGACGTGGACGCGGACGTGGACGTGGACGTGGACGTGGACGCGGACATCGACGTGGACGTGGACATGGAGGTGGACGTGGACGTGGACGTGGACATGGACGTGGACGTGGACGTAGACATGGACGTGGACGTGGACGTGGAGGACTTGGATGTGGACATGGACGTGGACGTGGACGTGGACATGGACGTGGACATGGACGTGGACGTGGACGTGGACATGGACGTGGACGTGGACGTGGACATGGACGTGGACGTGGACGTGGATGTGGACGTGGACATGGCCGTGGACGTGGACGAGGACGTGGACGTGGACATTGTCGGAGTGTGTGACCCTCATCAGCACTTGCTCTTCTTCCTGTCGTTCTTCTTCAACACTCCCTGCTCTGTGCTGCCCTGCTTCAGTCACTCACATGAACGTGATCACTCCCTCACCCCACCGGTTCCTTCTTAGTGCTGTGCCACCGCGTGTAGTAGCTAGGATAACAGCCCTGCACTAGTATGAAAGAATACTGAACAATAGGCATCGAGTGAGTTGGCGTGGGTGACCTTACCCAACCTCGGCTTGCACATTTCCAATGCGGCTCGAGGTTGGGATTTGTTCGAATCCCACATTTTGCCCTTCGGTGCTTTTCCCCCTTCATCCCAACCGCTCCCACATATTTCCCCCTTTCTGCAACCCTTTGCAACCGACACTTCGCTACTGGCTACACCTCCTACACTACTTCTTGTCTATCTACCTCAATGCATTCTTAGCTATTTGCTATACTACTTCCCAGCACCGCACTCTACTGTTATTGCATATGCATCCCTTGCATATGCGGTGACAGCTGTCGGAGTGTGTGACCCTCACCAGCACTTGCTCTTCTTCCTGTTGTTCTTCTTCAACACTCCCTGCTCTGTGCTGCCCTGCCTCAGTCACTCACTGCCCCCTCCTGTGCCTGTGCTTGGGTAGCTCGAGCTCGTGTCACAGGACCAGCTTGCTGAGGCTTGCTCCCCCTCACCAGGGCCGTGTTGGTCTGGTGCTCCTTCAGCTGTGCCCCCTTTTCGTTCTCTAGCACGAGAATACCCGAGGGCCGAACTTCCTTCACTCTCCACCTCTCGGTCCCCACCCCGACGTCCAGCGTGTCCTGTTTTGCCCTTTTCAGGTACACCTCCTGCCCCTCACTTGCTCCCTTTTTCTCTCTCCTTCCCAACATCCCCTGCTGCTGGCGTTGCTCATAACGTCTGGCGTCTCTCAGCTGTGCCGTGTGTAGGTTTTCTAGCGCTGCTGGCATTATCACTCGGAGGTACCTTGCTCTGGCCTCTGACAAGGCCACCCAGTTGTCTATGGTGCCTGCTGTCACTGTGTCCGTGAGGACCCGTGGTGCCCCCACAGGTAGCACCGGCTCACAACCAAACAGAAGGCTGTAGGGTGAATGGTCTCTCAGGGCTGCCTGCTTCCCAAACCTATATCCTGCCGCAATCTAGTGTAGCTCATTGTCCCGTTCCCGCTTCCTTTTCTCCCCATATGCCCGTAGCCCTCGCTTCAACGTCTGCACTAGGCGCTCGATCAGCCCATCACTCTGTGGGTGATACCGAGAGGTGCGCCTGTGGGTGATTCCCGCTTCCTCTAACAGCTCCCTGAACTCCCTTTGAAACTCTGTGCCTTGATCGGTGAGCACCTCTGCACACGCCCCAAATCTGCATATTACTTGCTCCTTGAATGCTGCTGCCACATGTCTTGAGCTCTTGCTGGGGATAGCCCTCACCTCCAGCCACTTGCTTACGTGCTCCACCATGAGCACTATGTACCGTTTCCCCCCCCGGCTCAGCGGCAGTTCCCCTGCCAGGTCCAAGGACCATCTGAAGCCTAACCCGCGGATGGGCAGGGACTGCAGCTCGGCCTTGGCTTGGGTCAGGTTTGCTCGGCTCCTTTGGCAGGCCTCACATCCCTCCACCCACTTCTGCACCTGCCTGCGCATTCCCTCCCACCACCAGCCCGTCTTCAACAACTGCACTGTCCTCTCATGCCCGAAGTGCCCCAGCTTTGAGTGCACCTCCTTTATCACCGCTTCCCTGTTACCTGGGGCCGGCACCAGCTTCCACCCACCCTCGGTCTGTATCTGCAACTGCTGCTGGTACCACCTGTAGTGGTGCCCCCTTGCTCTCACCCTCTCGCTCATCTCCTCGTCTGCTCCTGTCTCTCCCTTCACCCATCTCACAACCTGCTCATCCTCCCAGATATCAGCCGGCCCCTTGCTCCTCCTGGCCCCGCTCAGCTCCACCTGTCTGGCCAGCAGCGCAAGGGTCACTGTTGGCTCTAGCGGTGGGGGGTTACGGGAGAGGCCGTTCACATGCTGCAAGGTTATTCCTGGCCTGTGCTTGATTTTGAAGTCATTCTCCTGCAGCTTCATTGCCCATCGTGCATTCCTGCCTGTTAACCCTGGTGTAGTCATCAGCCATGTCAGTGGCTGGTGGTCCGTCACCAGGGTGAACTCCCGCCCCTGCAAGTAGACCCTGAAGTGCCCCACAGCCCATACTGCCGCCAGTCCCTCCCCTGTGTACGAGCTGTACTGTGCCTCCGCCGAGTTGCAGCTCCTACTCGCGTAGGCCACCACCTTCTCATCCCCTTCCACCTCCTGGCAGAGTATCCCGCCCATCCCTTGGCTGCTCCAGTCGGTGTAGAGGGTGAAGGGTTGGTCCGCTGCTGGCAGCTGCAAGACAGTTGCTGTTTTCACCGCCGCCATCAGGTCCTGCAATGCCCCCTTCTGCGCTTCCCCCCACTCCCATGTCTTGTCCTCCCTTAACAGTCCGTTCAACACCGCTGCCCGCCTGCTGGAGTTGGGCACAAATCGCCGGTAGTAACTCAGAAACCCCAACACCGCTCTCAGCCCTGTCTTGTCCTTTGGTTCTCGCAGCCTATCCAGCACCTCCACCTTTGCTTGCTGGATCCCGATCTGCCCCCCTGTCACCTCGTAGCCCAGATACTGAACGGTCTGCTCACCCCACCTACACTTCTTCGGGTGACACGTGAGTCCCGCTGCTTCTATTGCTGCCAGTGTCTTCTCCACATCCTGCAGGTGCTGCTGTTCGGAGGTGCTGAAGATCACCACGTCATCTATGTAGCACGCTGCATATTCTACGTCCCTCAGCACTGCATCCATGACTCTCTGAAACACTGCTGATGCGTTCCTCAGCCCGAATGGCATGTAAAGCCACTCGTACAGCCCATCCGGCCCGTGAAATGCCGTCTTCCTAACGTCCTCCTCCCTGATTTTTATCTGATTGAACCCCTGCCACAGGTCCAGCGTCGTAAAGAACACCCCCTCTGCTAACTTGTCAAATATCTCCTCCGCCATCGGCATTGGGTACCTGTCCGCCACGGTATTCTTGTTGAGCGCTCGGTAATCTCCGCACATCCTCCTGCTCAGGATCTCCCCTGTTAAGTCCTTCCTCGCTGCCACCACTGTTGGTGTGGCGTATTCTGATTCTGAGCGCCGGATCAGTCCGGCCGCTAGCAGCTCCTTAATCTTCTCCTTGCATATCTCTTCATCTCCGTGCGGCATCTTCCTACGCCGTTGGAACACCGGCTCTGTGCTGCTCAGTTTCAGCTCCATCTCCTTCATTTTGCACCTTCCCAGTTCTTGCAGTGTGAAGGCAAAGCACTTCCTATGCTTGGCCAGCAGTCCCAGCATAGCTTCCCTTCCCTCTTCACTCATCGCTTCCCCCACTGTCCACTTCTCTCCCTCCTCCTCCTGGCAGGTCCATGCTCCTTGTGGGGCTGCTGCTGCCGCCACCTTATCTGCCTCTTGCCCCCCACCCAAGACCATCTCTCGCCACATCCTCTGCACCAGCCACCTCATCATGTAGCCATCCATGGCATTCCCCATTGCCCTCCTCCTGTCTTCCTCGCTCACCCCTGGTGCTGCCGTCACGTTTTCTCCATATCCCATAGCCAGCTCCCTCTCTAATGCCGTCGGTTCCTCCCACCGTCCCCGCTTGTGGTCATATATCAGCCCGGGTCCGGGCTCCCCCTTTTCCCACCTGTAGCCTGCTGCCTCTGCAAAAGCGACCAAGGTGGGCAGAGCCCTCCTGTCCTGCCCCACCTGGTTGCACGGGTAGTGCCTGCTGTAACTTCTTTGACAAACTGGCGCGGGAGTCCGTCCCGGCTCCAGGATGTCCACCACCCTCCTCCCTGTAGCCCTCCTCATCCCCTCTGCTTCCTCCTGCAAATCCAGCACGGGAACCACGTTTTGCCAGTACATCCTGAGGCGGTGAGCGTACGACCCTGCCCTGGCTGCATCACAGCTCATCCCTTTTCCCACGTGCCGGCCAATCCTCTCCCTCACCAGCCGAATCGGCTCTCTACAATCCCCTTCTAGATCCTGATTCTCTAGCAAGTAAGCCACTCTGCCCTGCCTCTCCTGCAGCCACTCCAGGATATTGAACAGGTTGTCCATCAGCTTCGTCCTCGGGTCCTCCCCTCCCTTCCCTTTTCCTGCCCATGACACCCCTTGACACTCCCATCCCGCCACCAGCAGGTCCACCTGCCCCCAGCTGGCCACCTGCTCCTCTGTGATCTGACTCACATCGTGCACCGTACTGCTCGTGGCTTCCTGAATTACTTTCTCACCCAGGAGGTCCGGGAACTCAGCTCTCAGCTTGTGCGCGTGATGCTCAGCCATCCTTCTCACCTGTGGTGCCAGTTCCACATAGACCCACTGCTGCACTGCAATCCCACTCCTCACTGCTGCCGCCAGCCCTGCCCCGATTCCTCCGAACAACTCTACTAGCCGGATGGGCTGCTGCCAATCGCTATGCTGCCCCGGCTTGTCCATCAGTTTCATCCTGGGCCCCTCCTTGGTCTCTGCTGCTCCTCTCTGCCCCCTTTGTGCCCCTCCTGCTCTGACCTGATAGGCCCGCTTCGGCTCCACCCTTACAAACTGCACTGGCAGCTGCCCCAATGGTCCCTCCTTCCAGTATCTCGTTCGGAACTCCACCTTCTCCATCCAGGTACATATGCTCATGCCTACAGCGAACACCAATTCTGTCCCCATCAGCAGATCAAAGTCCTCGGACTCCGAGATTCCACACTTCATCCTGATCCTTGTTTCATGCTCCCCTCCTGGCAGCAGTGTCAACTCTATGGGGGTCCGTGTGCACGGCATCCACTTTGGTTCCCCTCCCTCTGCTGTCATGACTAACATCCCCTTCGCCACGTGCCTCTCAGGGGCCATCAGCCCCAACCGTTCGGCCATCCCCTTACCCAGCATCACGCTCTGTGCTCCTGTGTCAATGATCGCCGTCTTTACCTTCATCCCCCCCACTTCCACCGCTCGTGCTTCCACGAGCAGCACCGAGGTCTGGCACGCGAGTCTTTCCTGCGGGTGGCGGGCTGGGGTCTTCTCTCCTCCTGGCGCGTCCGGCCTGGACCCCTGCTCACGTGGCTTCCGGCTATGCTCCTGCCTGCCATCCTTCCCCCCGCTACGCAGCCCCATCTGTTCCCTGCCTCTCCAGGCCATGAGGGCACACTGCACGTCCGGCTCCACCCCTTCTCCCTCCTCGTCCCTAGCGTACATCCCCGCCTCCGCTCCCCACCCTGACCCCATGGCCTGCAGTTGAGACTGCAGCCTGCTGATCTGCCGCTGCAGCTCCTCTGGTTTCCTCTTTGCCCCTCCCTCCCGCTGGTAACACTCCTTGGCCTCGTGCCCCTTCTTCCCGCAGATTTCACACTTCGCCGCATCCGGACATTATCGTTTCCGGTGCCCAGGCTTCCCACATCCATCATAGTTTTTGCACTCTCTGCGGAGGTGCCCCATCTGTCCATACCGGTAGCAGGTGCGCGCGTCGGCTCTCTCTTCCCCGTGTGGGTCCACCCTCCCTCGCTCCTCTGGTATCATAGCCGCCGCCCATGTCGGTCTGCGGCTCCTCTCTGTCGGCCTCGGCAGGTAGGCCTCATACCTCCTTTGTGCCAGCTCCACCCTTTCCGCCAGGTCAAACACCTCCTCTAGTGCCGCATCCGCCCCCAACTCGTACACCCTCACCATGGACGTGGACGTGGTCGTGGACGTCGACGTGGACGTGGACGTATACATGGACGTGGACATGGACGTGGACGTGGACGTGGACGTGGTCGTGGACATGGACGTGGACGTGGACGTGGACGTGGACGTGGACATGGACGTGGACGTGGACGTGGACTTGGACGTGGACGTGGACTGGACGTGGACGTGGACATGGACTGGACGTGGACGTGGACGTGGACGTGGACGTGGACGTGGACGTGGACCTGGACATGGACGGGGACGTGGACGCGGACGTGGATCTGGACGTGGACGGGGACGTGGACGCGGACGTGGACCTGGACGTGGACGGGGACGTGGACGCGGACGTGGACGCGGACGTGGACGCGGACGTGGACGTGGACGTGGACGTGGACGCGGACGTGGACGCGGACGTGGACGTGGACGTGGACGTGGACCTGGTCGTGGACGTGGACGTGGACGTGGACGTGGACGTGGACGAATATATTTCCTAATTTATATTTGAGCGAGACCACTTGATTCCGTGTACTATGCAAGATCTGAGCGCTTCCGTTCTCCCTGGCATTTGCATTTTAAGTTCCGATACTGACCGATCTGGGCAATGCACCAATTTCTCTATACATGTGCGTTAGATACCTTTCAGACCTTTTTAGCTGACTAGATTTATATATTTCCCACCTTCTCATCGAGTGAGACCGCTAGATTCCCTCTACTTTTTGAGCAACGAGCTTTTCCGTTCTCCCTGGCCCCACTTGCACTATAAGTGCGAAATGCCGGCCACACTGCCGATGCACCATTTTCTCTAGACATGTGCGTTAGTTACCTTTCAAACCCTTACGTTCACTAGATGAATATATTTCCTACTTTCTATTTGATTGAGACCACTTGATTTTGTGTACTATGCGAGATTTGAGCGCTTCCGTTCTCCCTGGCATTTGCATTCTAAGTTCCCATACTGACCGACCTGGCCAATGCACCATTTTCCATACACATATACATTAGATTCCTTTCGAACCTTATTAGCTCACTAGATTTATATATTTCCCACCTTCTGATCGAGTGAGACCGCTAGATTCCCTTTACTTTTTGAGAAATGAGCGTTTCTGTTCTCCCTGGCCCTAGTTGCACTATAAGTGCGAAATGCCGGCCAGACTGGCCGATGCACCATTTTCTCTATCATGTGCGTTAGTTACCTTTCAAAAACTTACGTTCACTCAATTAATATATTTCCTACCTTATATTTGAGTGAGACCATTAGATTCCGTGTACTATGCGAGACCTGAGCGGTTCCGTTCTCCCATGCATTTGCACTCTAAGTTCCAATACTGACCGACCTGGCCAATGCACCATTTTCCATATACATATGCATTAGATTCCTTTCGAACCTTATTAGCTCACTAGATTTATATATTTCCCACCTTCTGATAGAGTAAGACCGCTAGATTCCCTTTACTTTTTTTAGAAATGAGCGTTTGCGTTCTCCCTGGCCGTGGACGTGGACGTGGACGTGGACGTGGACGTGGACGTGAACGTGGACGTGGACGTGGACGTTGACGTGAACGTGGACGTGGACATAGACGTGGACGTGGACGTGGACGTGGACGTGGACGTGGACGTGGAACGTGGACGTGGACGTGGACATGGACGTGGACGTGGACGTGGACGTGGACGTGGACGTGGACATGGACGTGGACGTGGACGTGGACGTGGACATGGACGTGGACATGGACGTGGACGTGGACGTGGACGTGGACATGGACATGGACGTGGACATGGACGTGGACGTGGACATGGACGTGGAGGTGGACGTGCACGTGGAGGTGGACCTGGTCGTGGACGTGGACGTGGACGTGGACGTGGACGTGGACATGGACGTGGACGTGGACATGGTCGTGGACGTGGACATGGTCGTGGACATGGACATGGTCGTGGACGTGGACATGGACGTGGACGTGGTCGTGGACGTGGACGTGGACATGGTCGTGGACGTGGACGTGGACGTGGTCGTGGACGTGGACGTGGACGTGGACGTGGACGTGGTCGTGGACATGGACGTGGACGTGGACGTGGTCGTGGACGTGGTCGTGGACGTGGACGTGGACATGGACGTGGTCGTGGACGTGGACGTGGACGTGGACGTGGAGGTGGACGTGGTCGTGGACGTGGACGTGGTGGACGTGGACGTAGACGTGGACGTGGACGTGGACGTGGTGGACGTGGACGTGGACATGGACGTGGACGTGGACGTGGACGTGGACGTGGACGTGGACATGGATGTGGACGTGGACGTGGACATGGTCGTGGACGTGGACGTGGACGTGGACATGGTCGTGGACGTGGACATGGACGTGGACGTGGACATGGACGTGGACATGGACGTGGACATGGACGTGGACATGGACGTGGACGTGGACATGGTCGTGGACGTGGACGTGGACGTGGACGTGGACATGGTCGTGGACGTGGACATGGACGTGGACATGGACATGGACGTGGACATGGACGTGGACGTGGACGTGGACGTGGACGTGGACGTGGACATGGACGTGGACGTGGACGTGGACGTGGACGTGGACGTGGACGTGGTGGACGTGGACGTGGACGTGGACGTGGAAGTGGACGTGGACATGGACGTGGACGTCGACATGGACGTGGACGTGGACGTGGACGTGGACGTGGACATGGACGTGGACGTGGACGTGGACGTGGACATGGACGTGGACGTGGACGTGGTGGACGTGGACGTGGAGGTGGACGTGGACGTGGACGTGGACGTGGACGTAGACGCGGGCGTGGACGTGGACGTGGGCTTGGACGTGGACATGGACGTGGACATGGACGTGGACGTGGACGTGGACGTGGACGTGGACGTGGTGGACGTGGACGTGGAGGTGGACGTGGACGTGGACGTGGACGTGGACGTGGACGCGGGCGTGGACGTGGACGTGGGCTTGGACGTGGACGTGGACGTGGACATGGACGTGGACGTGGACATGGACGTAGACGTGGACGTGGACATGGACGTGGACGTGGACATGGACGTGGACGTGGACATGGACGTGGACGTGGACGTGGACATGGACGTGGACGTGGACGTGGACGTGGACGTGGACATGGACGTGGACGTGGACATGGACGTGGACGTGGACGTGGACGTGGACATGGTGGTGGACGTGGACGTGGACGTGGACGTGGACGTGGACATGGTCGTGGACGTGGACATGGTCGTGGACGTGGACATGGTCGTGGACGTGGACATGGACGTGGACGTGGACGTGGACGTGGACGTGGACATGGTCGTTGACGTGGACATGGTCGTGGACGTGGACGTGGACGTGGACGTGGACATGGACGTGGACATGGACGTGGACGTGGACGTGGACGTGGAAATAGAAGTGGACGTGGACGTGGACGTGGACGTGGACATGGTCGTGGACGTGGACGTGGACGTGGACGTGGACATGGACGTGGACGTGGATGTGGACGTGGACGTGGTGGACGTGGACGTGGACATGGACGTGGACGTGGACGTGGACGTGGACATGGACGTGGACATGGACGCGGACATGGACGTGGACGTGGACATGGACGTGGACATGGACGTGGACGTGGACCTGGACGTGGACGTGGACATGGACGTGGACGTAAACGTGGTATTGGACATGGTCATGGACGTGGACATGGACGTGGACGTGGACGTGGACGTGGTGGACGTGGACGTGGACGTGGACGTGGCCGTGGACGTGGGCGTGGACATGGACGTGGGCGTGGACGTGGACGTGGGCTTGGACGTGGACGTGGACATGGACGTGGACGTGGACATGGACGTGGACGTGGGCGTGGACATGGACGTGGGCGTGGACGTGGACGTGGGCTTGGACGTGGACGTGGACATGGACGTGGACGTGGACATGGACGTGGACGTGGACGTGGACGTGGACGTGGACACGGACGTGGACGTGGACGTGGACATGGACGTGGACATGAACGTGGACGTGGACATGGACGTGGACGTGGACGTGGACATGGACGTGGACGTGGACGTGGACGTGAACATGGACGTGAACGTGGACATGGACATGAACGTGGACGTGGACGTGGACGTGGACAAGGACATGGACGTGGACGTGGACGTGGACGTGGACATGGACGTGGACGTGGACATGGACGTGGACATGGACGTGGACGTGGACGTGGACATGGACGTGGACGTGGACATGGACCTAGACGTGGACGTGGACATGGACGTGGACGTGGACATGGTGGTGGACGTGGACGTGGACGTGGACGTGGACATGGACGTGGAAAAGGTGGTGGACGTGGACGTGGACATGGACGTGGACATAGACGTGGACATGGTGGTGGACGTGGACGTGGACGTGGACGTGGACATGGACGTGGACGTGGACATGGACGTGGACGTGGACGTGGACGTGGTCGTGGACGTGGACGTGGACGTGGACATGGTCGTGGACGTGGACGTGGACGTGGACGTGGACGTGGACATGGACGTGGACGTGGACGTGGACGTGGACGTGGGCGTGGACGTGGACGTGGACGTGGACGTGGACATGGACGTGGACATGGACGTGGACGTGGACGTGGACATGGACGTGGACATGGACGTGGACGTGGACGTGGACATGGACGTGGACGTGGACGTGGACGTGGACGTGGACGTGGTGGACGTGGACGTGGACCTGGACGTGGACGTGGACGTGGACATGGACGTGGACGCGGACGTGGACGTGGACGTGGACGTGGACATGGACGTGGACGGGGACGTGGACGTGGAGGTGGACGCGGACATGGACGTGGACGCGGACGTGGACGCGGAGGTGGACGTGGACATGGACGCGGACGTGGACGTGGACGCGGACATGGACGTGGACGTGGATATGGACGTGGACGTGGACATGGACGTGGATATGGACGTGGACGTGGACGTGGACATGGACGTGGACGTGGACGTGGACGTGGTGGACGTGGACGTGGACATGGACGTGGACGTGGACGTGGACATGGACGTGGACGTGGACGTGGACGTGGACATGGACGTGGACATGGACGTGGACGTGGTGGACATGGACGTGGACGTGGTGGACATGGACATGGACGTGGACGTGGTGGACGTGGACATGGACGTGGACGTGGACGTGGACGTGGTCGACGTGGACGTGGACCTGGACGTCGACGTGGACGTGGACATGGACGTGGACGCGGACGTGGACGGGACGTGGACATGGACATGGACGCGGACGTGGACGTGGACGTGGACGTGGACATGGACGTGGACGGGGACGTGGACGTGGAGGTGGACGTGGACATGGACGTGGACGCGGACGTGGAGGTGGACGTAGACGTGGACGTGGACGCGGACGTGGACGTGGACGCGGACATGGACGTGGACGTGGACATGGACGTGGACGTGGACATGGACGTGGACATGGACGTGGACGTGGACATGGACGTGGACGTGGACGTGGACGTTGACGTGGACGTGGACGTGGACGTGGTGGACGTGGACGTGGACATGGACGTGGACGTGGACGTGGACATGGACGTGGACGTGGACGTGGACATGGACATGGACATGGACGTGGACGTGGTGGACATGGACGTGGACGTGGTGGACATGGACGTGGACTTGGACGTGGACATGGACGTGGACTTGGACGTGGACATGGACGTGGACGTGGTGGACGTGGACGTGGATGGACATGGACATGGATGTGGACATGGACGTGGACGTCCACGTGGACATGGACCTGGATATGGATATGGACGTGGACGTGGACGTGGTGGACGTGGACGTGGACATGGACGTGGACGTTGATGTGGACGTGGACATGGACGTGGACGTGGACGTGGACGTGGACATGGACGTGGACGTGGACATGGACGTGGACGTGGTCGTGGACGTGGACATGGACGTGGACATGGACGTGGACATGGACGTGGACATGGACGTGGACATGGATGTGGACATGGACGTGGACATGGACGTGGACATGGACGTGGACATGGACGTGGACGTGGACATGGACGTGGACGTGGACGTGGTTGTGGACGTGGACATGGTCGTGGACGTGGACGTGGACGTGGACGTGGACGTGGACATGGTCGTGGACGTGGACGTGGACGTGGACGTGGACCTGGACATGGACGTGAATGTGGACGTGGACCTGGACATGGTCGTGGACGTGGACGTGGACGTGGACATGGTCGTGGAGGTGGACGTGGACGTGGACGTGGACGTGGTGGACGTGGACGTGGACATGGACGTGGACGTGGACGTGGACATGGACGTGGACGTGGACGTGGACATGGACGTGGACGTGGACATGGTGGACGTGGACGTGGACGTGGACATGGACGTGGACGTGGACATGGACATGAACATGGACGTGGACGTGGACGTGGACGTGGACAAGGACATGGACGTGGACATGGACGTGGACGTGGACATGGACGTGGACATGGACGTCGACATGGACATGGACGTGGACATGGACGTGGACATGGACATGGACGTGGACATGGACGTGGACGTGGACGTGGACATGGACGTGGACGTGGACATGGACCTGGACGTGGACGTGGACGTGGACGTGGACATGGACGTGGACGTTGACGTGGACGTGGACATGGTGGTGGACGTGGACGTGGACGTGGACGTGGACCTGGAAGTGGACGTGGACGTGGACATGGACGTGGTCGTGGACGTGGACGTGGACGTGGACCTGGACGTGGACGTGGACGTGGACGTGGACCTGGACGTGGACGTGGACGTGGACGTGAACATGGACGTGGACATGGACGTGGACGTGGACATGGACGTGGACATGGACGTGGACGTGGACATGGACATGGACGTGGACGTGGACGTGGACGTGGACATGGACGTGGACGTGGACATGGTGGACGTGGACGTAGACATGGACGTGGACGTGGACATGGACATGGACATGGACATGGACGTGGACATGGACGTAGACATGGACGTGGACATGGACGTGGACATGGACGTGGACATGGACGTGGACGTGGACGTGGACGTGGACATGGACGTGGACATGGACGTGGACATGGACGTGGATATGGACATGGACGTGGACATGGACGTGGACATGGACATGGACGTGGACGTGGACATGGACGTGGACGTGGACATGGACGTGGACATGGACGTGGACGTGGACGTGGACATGGACGTGGACATGGACATGGACGTGGACATGGACGTGGACATGGACGTGGACGTGGACGTGGACGTGGACATGGACGTGAACGTGGACGTGGACGTGGACGTGGTGGACGTGGACGTGGACATGGACGTGGACGTGGACATGGACGTGGACATGGACGTGGGCGTGGACATGGACGTGGACATGGACATGGACATGGACATGGACATGGACATGGACATGGACGTGGACGTGGACATGGACGTGGACGTGGACATGGACGTGGACATGGACATGGACATGGACGTGGACGTGGACATGGACGTGGACATGGACATGGACGTGGACGTGGACATGGACGTGGACGTGGACATGGACGTGGACATGGACGTGGACGTGGACATGGACGTGGACGTGGACATGGACATGGACGTGGACATGGACGTGGACATGGAAGTGGACGTGGACGTGGACGTGGACATGGACGTGAACGTGGACGTGGACGTGGACGTGGTGGACGTGGACGTGGACATGGACGTGGACGTGGACATGGACGTGGACATGGACGTGGGCGTGGACATGGACGTGGACATGGACATGGACATGGACGTGGACGTGGACGTGGACATGGACGTGGACGTGGACGTGGACATGGACGTGGACGTGGACGTGGACATGGACATGGACGTGGACGTGGACGTGAACATGGACCTGGACGTGGACGTGGACATGGACGTGGACGTGGACGTGGACGTGGACGTGGAAGTGGACATGGTGGTGGACGTGGACGTGGACGTGGACGTGGACATGGTCGTGGACGTGGACGTGGACGTGGACATGGACGTGGACGTGGACATGGACGTGGACGTGGACATGGTCGTGGACGTGGACCTGGACATGGACGTGGACATGGTCGTGGACATGGTCGTGGACATGGACGTGGACGTGGACGTGGACATGGTCGTGGACATGGACCTGGACATGGACGTGGACGTGGACGTGGACATGGTAGTGGACGTGGACGTGGACGTGGACATGGTCGTGGACGTGGACGTGGACGTGGACATGGACGTGGACGTGGACATGGACGTGGACGTGGACGTGGACGTGGACATGGACGTGGACGTGGACGTGGACATGGACGTGGACATGGACGTGGACGTGGACATGGACGTGGACATGGACGTGGACATGGACATGGACGTGGACATGGACGTGGACGTGGACATGGACGTGGACGTGGACGTGGACGTGGACATGGACGTGGACGTGGTTGTGGACGTGGACGTGGACGTGGACGTGGACATGGTCGTGGACGTGGACGTGGACGTGGACGTGGACGTGGACGTGGACGTGAACATGGATGTGGACATGGACGTGGACGTGGACATGGATGTGGACATGGACGTGGACGTGGACGTGGACGTGGACGTGGACGTGGACGTGGTGGACGTGCACGAGGACGTGGACGAGGACGTGGACGTGGACATGGACGTGGACATGGACGTGGACGTGGACGTGGACGTGGACGTGGACATGGACGTGGACGTGGACGTGGATATGGACGTGGACGTGGACGTGGACATGGACGTGGACGTGGACGTGGACGTGGACATGGACGTGGACGTGGACGTGGACGTGGTGGACGTGGACGTGGACATGGACGTGGACGTGGACGTGGACATGGACGTGGACGTGGACGTGGACATGGACGTGGACATGGACGTGGACGTGGACGTGGACGTGGACATGGACGTGGTGGACGTGGACGTGGACATGGACGTGGACGTGGACGTGGACATGGACATGGACGTGGACGTGGACGTGGACATGGACGTGGACGTGGACATGGTGGACGTGGACGTGGACATGGACGTGGACGTGGACATGGACATGGACATGGACATGGACGTGGACATGGACGTGGACATGGACGTGGACGTGGACGTGGACATGGACGTGGACATGGACGTGGACGTGGACGTGGACGTGGACGTGAACATGGACGTGGACGTGGACGTGGACGTGTACGTGGACATGGACGTGAACGTGGACGTGGACGTGGACGTGGTGGACGTGGACCTGGACGTGGACGTGGACATGGACGTGGACATGGACATGGACGTGGACATGGACGTGGACGTGGACATGGACGTGGACATGGACGTGGACATGGACATGGACGTGGACATGGACGTGGACGTGGACGTGGACGTGGACGTGGACATGGACGTGGACGTGGACGTGGACGTGGACATGGACGTGGACGTGGACGTGGACATAGTGGTGGACGTGGACGTGGACGTGGACATGGTCGTGGACGTGGACGTGGACGTGGACATGTACGTGGACGTGGACATGGACGTGGACGTGGACATGGTCGTGGACGTGGACCTGGACATGGACGTGGACATGGTCGTGGACATGGTCGTGGACATGGACCTGGACATGGACGTGGACGTGGACGTGGACATGGTCGTGGACGTGGATGTGGACCTGGACATGGACGTGGACGTGGACGTGGACATGGTCGTGGACGTGGACGTGGACGTGGACGTGGACATGGTCGTGGACGTGGACGTGGACGTGGACATGGACGTGGACGTGGACATGGACGTGGACGTGGACGTGGACGTGGACATGGACGTGGACGTGGACGTGGACGTGGACGTGGACATGGACGTGGACGTGGACGTGGACATGGACGTGGACGTGGACGTGGACATAGACCTGGACGTGGACGTGGACGTGGACATGGACGTGGACATGGACATGGACATGGACGTGGACGTGGACGTGGACGTGGACATGGACCTGGACGTGGACGTGGACGTGGACATGGACGTGGACGTGGACGTGGACGTGGACGTGGACATGGTGGTGGACGTGGACGTGGACGTGGACGTGGACATGGTCGTGGACGTGGACGTGGACGTGGACATGGACGTGGACGTGGACATGGTCGTGGACGTGGACATGGTCGTGGACATGGACGTGGACGTGGACGTGGACGTGGACGTGGACCTGGACGTGGACGTGGACGTGGACGTGGTCGTGGACGTGGACGTGGACGTGGACCTGGTCGTGGACGTGGACGTGGACATGGACGTGGACGTGGACGTGGACATGGACGTGGACGTGGACGTGGACGTGGACGTGGACGTGGACATGGACGTGGACGTGGACGTGGACGTGGACGTGGACGTGGACGTGGACGTGGACATGGACGTGGATGTGGACGTGGACGTGCGTGGACGTGGACGTGAACGTGGTGGACGTGGACGTGGTGGACGTGGACGTGGACGTGGACGTGGACATGGACGTGGACGTGGACGTGGACGTGGACGTGGACATGGACGTGGACGTGGACGTGGACATGGACGTGGACGTGGACGTGGACGTGGACATGGACATGGACGTGGACGTGGACATGGACGTGGACGTGGACGTGGATGAGGACGTGGACATGGACATGAACATGGACGTGGACGTGGACGTGGACAAGGACATGGACGTGGACGTGGACGTGGACGTGGACATGGACGTGGACGTGGACGTGGACATGGACGTGGACGTGGACGTGGACATAGACCTGGACGTGGACGTGGACGTGGACATGGACGTGGACATGGACATGGACATGGACGTGGACGTGGACGTGGACGTGGACATGGACCTGGACGTGGACGTGGACGTGGACATGGACGTGGACGTGGACGTGGACGTGGACGTGGACATGGTGGTGGACGTGGACGTGGACGTGGACGTGGACATGGTCGTGGACGTGGACGTGGACGTGGACATGGACGTGGACGTGGACATGGTCGTGGACGTGGACATGGTCGTGGACATGGACGTGGACGTGGACGTGGACGTGGACGTGGACGTGGACCTGGACGTGGACGTGGACGTGGACGTGGTCGTGGACGTGGACGTGGACGTGGACCTGGTCGTGGACGTGGACGTGGACATGGACGTGGACGTGGACGTGGACATGGACGTGGACGTGGACGTGGACGTGGACGTGGACGTGGAGATGGACGTGGACGTGGACGTGGACGTGGACGTGGACGTGGACGTGGACGTGGACATGGACGTGGATGTGGACGTGGACGTGCGTGGACGTGGACGTGAACGTGGTGGACGTGGACGTGGTGGACGTGGACGTGGACGTGGACGTGGACATGGACGTGGACGTGGACGTGGACGTGGACGTGGACATGGACGTGGACGTGGACGTGGACATGGACGTGGACGTGGACGTGGACGTGGACATGGACATGGACGTGGACGTGGACATGGACGTGGACGTGGACGTGGATGAGGACGTGGACATGGACATGAACATGGACGTGGACGTGGACGTGGACGTGGACAAGGACATGGACGTGGACGTGGACGTGGACGTGGACATGGACGTGGACATGGACGTGGACATGGACATGGACGTGGACATGGACGTGGACGTGGACGTGGACGTGGACATGGACGTGGACGTGGACATGGACGTGGACGTGGACGTGGACATGGACGTGGACGTGGACGTGGACGTGGACATGGTGGTGGACGTGGACGTGGACGTGGATGTGGACGTGGACATGGACGTGGACGTGGACATGGACGTGGACATGGACGTGGACGTGGACATGGACGTGGACGTGGTCGTGGACGTGGACGTGGACGTGGACATGGTCGTGGACGTGGACGTGGACGTCGACGTGGACCTGGACGTGGACATGGACGTGAACATGGACGTGGACATGCACGTGGACGTGGACATGGACGTGGACATGGACGTGGACGTGGACGTGGACGTGGTGGACGTGGACGAGGACGTGGACGAGGACGTGGACATGGACGTGACGTGGACGTGGACGTGGACATGGACGTGGACATGGACGTGGACGTGGACCTGGACGTGGACGTGGTGGACGTGGACGTGGTGGACGTGGACGTGGACGTGGACATGGACGTGGACGTGGACGTGGACGTGGACGTGGACATGGACGTGGACATTGACGTGGACGTGGACATGGACGTGGACATGGACGTGGACGTGGACATGGACGTGGACGTGGACGTGGACGTGGACGTGGACGAGGACGTGGACATGGACATGAACATGGACGTGGACGTGGACGTGGACGTGGACATGGACGTGGACATGGACGTGGACGTGGACATGGACGTGGACATGGACGTGGACATGGACATGGACGTGGACATGGACGTGGACGTGGACGTGGACGTGGACATGGACGTGGACGTGGACATGGACCTGGACGTGGAAGTGGACATGGACGTGGACGTGGACGTGGACGTGGACATGGTGGTGGACGTGGACATGGACGTGGACGTGGACGTGGACATGGACGTGGACGTGGACGTGGACATGGACGTGGACATGGACGTGGACATGGACGTGGACGTGGTCGTGGACGTGGACGTGGACGTGGACATGGTCGTGGACGTGGACGTGGACGTGGACGTGGACCTGGACGTGGACGTGGACGTGGACGTGAACATGGACGTGGACATGGACGTGGACGTGGACATGGACGTGGACATGGACGTGGACGTGGACGTGGACATGGACGTGGACGTGGACGTGGACGTGGACATGGTGGTGGACGTGGACGTGGACGTGGACGTGGACGTGGACATGGTCGTGGACGTGGACGTGGACGTGGACATGGACGTGGACGTGGACATGGTCGTGGACATGGACATGGTCGTGGACATGGACGTGGACGTGGACGTGGACGTGGACGTGCACGTGCACGTGGACGTGGACGTGCACGTGGACGTGGACGTGGACGTGGTCGTGGACGTGGACGTGGTCGTGGACGTGGACGTGGACCTGGACGTGGACGTGGACCTGGACATGGACGTGGACGTGGACGTGGACGTGGACATGGACGTGGACGTGGACGTGGACGTGGACATGGACGTGGACGTGGACGTGGACGTGGACGTGGACATGGACGTTGACGTGGACGTGGACATGGACGTGACGTGGACGTGGACGTGGACATGGACGTGGACATGGACGTGGACGTGGACGTGGACGTGGTGGACGTGGACGTGGTGGACGTGGACGTGGACGTGGACATGTACGTGAACGTGGACGTGGACGTGGACGTGGACATGGATGTGGACATGGACGTGGACGTGGACATGGACGTGGACATGGACGTGGACGTGGACATGGACATGGACGTGGACGTGGACGTGGACGAGGACGTGGACATGGACATGAACATGGACGTGGACGTGGACATGGACGTGGACAAGGACATGGACGTGGACATGGACGTGGACGTGGACATGGACGTGGACATGGACATGGACGTGGACATGGATGTGGACGTGGACGTGGACGTGGACATGGACGTGGACGTGGACATGGACCTGGACGTGGACGTGGACATGGACGTGGACGTGGACGTGGACGTGGACATGGTGGTGGACGTGGACGTGGACGTGGACGTGGACGTGGACGTGGACATGGACGTGGACATGGACGTGGACGTGGACGTGGACGTGGTCGTGGACGTGGACGTGGACGTGGACGTGGACGTGGACGTGGACATGGTCGTGGACGTGGACGTGGACGTGGACATGGAGGTGGACCTGGACGTGGACGTGGACGTGGACGTGAACATGGACTAGGACATGGACGTGGACGTGGACGTGGACATGGACGTGGACGTGGACGTGGACGTGGACGTGGTGGACGTGGACGAGGACGTGGACGAGGACGTGGACGTGACGTGGACGTGGACGTGGACATGGACGTGGACGTGGACGTGGACGTGGTGGACGTGGACGTGGTGGACGTGGACGTGGACGTGGACGTGGACATGGACGTGGACGTGGACGTGGACGTGGACATGGACGTGGACATGGACGTGGACGTGGACATGGACGTGGACATAGACGTGGACGTGGACGTGGACATGGACGTGGACGTGGACGTGGACGTGGACGTGGACGTGGACGAGGACGTGGACATGGACATGAACATGGACGTGGACGTGGACGTGGACGTGGACGTGGACATGGACGTGGACGTGGACATGGACGTGGACATGGACGTGGACATGGACATGGACGTGGACATGGACGTGGACGTGGACGTGGACGGGGACATGGACGTGGACGTGGACATGGACCTGGACGTGGACGTGGACATGGACATGGACGTGGACGTGGACGGGGACATGGTGGTGGACGTGGACGTGGACGTGGACATGGACGTGGACGTGGACGTGGACATGGACGTGGACATGGACGTGGACGTGGACATGGACGTGGACGTGGTCGTGGACGTGGACGTGGACGTGGACGTGGACATGGTGGTGGACGTGGACGTGGACGTGGACGTGGACCTGGACGTGGACGTGGACGTGAACATGGACGTGGACATGGACGTGGACGTGGACATGGACGTGGTGGATGTGGACGAGGACGTGGACGAGGACGTGGACGTGGACGTGGACGTGGATATGGACGTAGACGTGGACGTGGACGTGGACCTCGACGTGGACATGGACGTGGACATGGACGTGGACGTGGACATGGATGTGGACATGGACGTGGACATGGACGTGGACGTGGACGTGGACGTGGACATGGACGTGGACGTGGACATGGACCTGGACGTGGACATGGACGTGGACGTGGACGTGGACGTGGACATGGACGTGGACGTGGACATGGACCTGGACGTGGACGTGGACGTGGACATGGACGTGGACGTGGACGTGGACGTGGACGTGGACGTGGTGGACATGGACGTAGACATGGACGTGGACGTGGACGTGGACATGGACGTGGACGTGGACATGGACATGGACATGGACGTTGACGTGGACATGGATGTGGACGTGGACATGGACGTGGACATGGACGTGGACATGGACGTGGACGTGGACGTGGACGTGGACATGGACGTGGACATGGACGTGGACATGGACGTGGACGTGGACGTGGATGTGGACGTGGACATGGACGTGGACATGGACGTGGACGTGGACCTGGGACGTGGACATGGACGTGGACGTGGACACAGACGTGGACGTGGACGTGGACCTGGACGCGGACATCGACGTGGACGTGGACCTGGACGTGGACATGGACGTGGACGTGGACCTGGACGTGGACGTGGACGTGGACGTGGATGTGGACGTGGACGTGGACGTGGACGTGGAGGTGGACGTGGACGTGGACGTGGACGTGGACGTGGACGTGGACATGGACGTGGACGTGGACGTGGACGTGGACATGGACACGGACGTGGACGTGGACACGGACGTGGACACGGACGTGGACGTGGACGTGGACGTGGACATGGACGTGGACGTGGACGTGGAGGAGGACATGGACGTGGACATGGACGTGGACGTGGACGTGGACGCAGACGTGGACGTGGACGTGGACGTGGACGCGGACATCGACGTGGACGTGGACATGGAGGTGGACGTGGACGTGGACGTGGACATGGACGTGGACGTGGACGTAGACATGGACGTGGACGTGGACGTGGAGGACTTGGATGTGGACATGGACGTGGACGTGGACGTGGACGTGGACATGGACGTGGACATGGACGTGGACGTGGACATGGACGTGGATGTGGACGTGGACGTGGACATGGACGTGGCATGGACGTGGACATGAACGTGGACATGGACGTGGACATGGACGTGGACATGGACGTGGACGTGGTCATGGACGTGGACATGGACGTGGACGTGGACGTGGACGTGGACATGGACATGGACGTGGACATGGACACGGACGTGGACATGGACGTGGACATGGACGTGGACGTGGACGTGGACATGGACGTGGACGTGGACGTGGACATGGACGTGGACGTGGACGTGGAGGACATGGACGTGGACATGGACGTTGACGTGGACGTGGACGTGGACGTGGACTTGGACGTGGACCTGGACGTGGACGTGGACGTGAACGTGGACATGGACGTGGACGTGGACGTGGATGTGAACGTGGACGTGGACCTGGACGTGGACGTGAACGTGGACACAGACGTGGACGTGGACGTGGACCTGGACGCGGACATCGACGTGGACGTGGACCTGGACGTGGACATGGACGTGGACGTGGACCTGGACGTGGACGTGGACATGGACGTGGATGTGGACGTGGACGTGGACGTGGACGTGGAGGTGGACGTGGACGTGGACGTGGACGTGGACGTGGAGGTGGACGTGGACGTGGACGTGGACGTGGACGTGGACATGGACGTGGACGTGGACGTGGACGTGGACAGGGACACGGACGTGGACGTGGACACGGACGTGGACACGGACGTGGACGTGGACGTGGACGTGGACGTGGACGTGGACGTGGACATGGACGTGGACGTGGACGTGGAGGAGGACATGGACGTGGACATGGACGTGGACGTGGACGTGGACGCGGACGTGGACGTGGACGTGGACGCGACATCGACGTGGACGTGGACATGGAGGTGGACGTGGACGTGGACGTGGACATGGACGTGGACGTGGACGTAGACATGGACGTGGACGTGGACGTGGAGGACTTGGATGTGGACGTGGACGTGGACGTGGACGTGGACATGGACGTGGACATGGACGTGGACGTGGACGTGGACATGGACGTGGACGTGGACGTGGACATGGACGTGGACGTGGACGTGGATGTGGACGTGGACATGGCCGTGGACGTGGACGAGGACGTGGACGTGGACATTGTCGGAGTGTGTGACCCTCATCAGCACTTGCTCTTCTTCCTGTCGTTCTTCTTCAACACTCCCTGCTCTGTGCTGCCCTGCTTCAGTCACTCACATGAACGTGATCACTCCCTCACCCCACCGGTTCCTTCTTAGTGCTGTGCCACCGCGTGTAGTAGCTAGGATAACAGCCCTGCACTAGTATGAAAGAATACTGAACAATAGGCATCGAGTGAGTTGGCGTGGGTGACCTTACCCAACCTCGGCTTGCACATTTCCAATGCGGCTCGAGGTTGGGATTTGTTCGAATCCCACATTTTGCCCTTCGGTGCTTTTCCCCCTTCATCCCAACCGCTCCCACATATTTCCCCCTTTCTGCAACCCTTTGCAACCGACACTTCGCTACTGGCTACACCTCCTACACTACTTCTTGTCTATCTACCTCAATGCATTCTTAGCTATTTGCTATACTACTTCCCAGCACCGCACTCTACTGTTATTGCATATGCATCCCTTGCATATGCGGTGACAGCTGTCGGAGTGTGTGACCCTCACCAGCACTTGCTCTTCTTCCTGTTGTTCTTCTTCAACACTCCCTGCTCTGTGCTGCCCTGCCTCAGTCACTCACTGCCCCCTCCTGTGCCTGTGCTTGGGTAGCTCGAGCTCGTGTCACAGGACCAGCTTGCTGAGGCTTGCTCCCCCTCACCAGGGCCGTGTTGGTCTGGTGCTCCTTCAGCTGTGCCCCCTTTTCGTTCTCTAGCACGAGAATACCCGAGGGCCGAACTTCCTTCACTCTCCACCTCTCGGTCCCCACCCCGACGTCCAGCGTGTCCTGTTTTGCCCTTTTCAGGTACACCTCCTGCCCCTCACTTGCTCCCTTTTTCTCTCTCCTTCCCAACATCCCCTGCTGCTGGCGTTGCTCATAACGTCTGGCGTCTCTCAGCTGTGCCGTGTGTAGGTTTTCTAGCGCTGCTGGCATTATCACTCGGAGGTACCTTGCTCTGGCCTCTGACAAGGCCACCCAGTTGTCTATGGTGCCTGCTGTCACTGTGTCCGTGAGGACCCGTGGTGCCCCCACAGGTAGCACCGGCTCACAACCAAACAGAAGGCTGTAGGGTGAATGGTCTCTCAGGGCTGCCTGCTTCCCAAACCTATATCCTGCCGCAATCTAGTGTAGCTCATTGTCCCGTTCCCGCTTCCTTTTCTCCCCATATGCCCGTAGCCCTCGCTTCAACGTCTGCACTAGGCGCTCGATCAGCCCATCACTCTGTGGGTGATACCGAGAGGTGCGCCTGTGGGTGATTCCCGCTTCCTCTAACAGCTCCCTGAACTCCCTTTGAAACTCTGTGCCTTGATCGGTGAGCACCTCTGCACACGCCCCAAATCTGCATATTACTTGCTCCTTGAATGCTGCTGCCACATGTCTTGAGCTCTTGCTGGGGATAGCCCTCACCTCCAGCCACTTGCTTACGTGCTCCACCATGAGCACTATGTACCGTTTCCCCCCCCGGCTCAGCGGCAGTTCCCCTGCCAGGTCCAAGGACCATCTGAAGCCTAACCCGCGGATGGGCAGGGACTGCAGCTCGGCCTTGGCTTGGGTCAGGTTTGCTCGGCTCCTTTGGCAGGCCTCACATCCCTCCACCCACTTCTGCACCTGCCTGCGCATTCCCTCCCACCACCAGCCCGTCTTCAACAACTGCACTGTCCTCTCATGCCCGAAGTGCCCCAGCTTTGAGTGCACCTCCTTTATCACCGCTTCCCTGTTACCTGGGGCCGGCACCAGCTTCCACCCACCCTCGGTCTGTATCTGCAACTGCTGCTGGTACCACCTGTAGTGGTGCCCCCTTGCTCTCACCCTCTCGCTCATCTCCTCGTCTGCTCCTGTCTCTCCCTTCACCCATCTCACAACCTGCTCATCCTCCCAGATATCAGCCGGCCCCTTGCTCCTCCTGGCCCCGCTCAGCTCCACCTGTCTGGCCAGCAGCGCAAGGGTCACTGTTGGCTCTAGCGGTGGGGGGTTACGGGAGAGGCCGTTCACATGCTGCAAGGTTATTCCTGGCCTGTGCTTGATTTTGAAGTCATTCTCCTGCAGCTTCATTGCCCATCGTGCATTCCTGCCTGTTAACCCTGGTGTAGTCATCAGCCATGTCAGTGGCTGGTGGTCCGTCACCAGGGTGAACTCCCGCCCCTGCAAGTAGACCCTGAAGTGCCCCACAGCCCATACTGCCGCCAGTCCCTCCCCTGTGTACGAGCTGTACTGTGCCTCCGCCGAGTTGCAGCTCCTACTCGCGTAGGCCACCACCTTCTCATCCCCTTCCACCTCCTGGCAGAGTATCCCGCCCATCCCTTGGCTGCTCCAGTCGGTGTAGAGGGTGAAGGGTTGGTCCGCTGCTGGCAGCTGCAAGACAGTTGCTGTTTTCACCGCCGCCATCAGGTCCTGCAATGCCCCCTTCTGCGCTTCCCCCCACTCCCATGTCTTGTCCTCCCTTAACAGTCCGTTCAACACCGCTGCCCGCCAGCTGGAGTTGGGCACAAATCGCCGGTAGTAACTCAGAAACCCCAACACCGCTCTCAGCCCTGTCTTGTCCTTTGGTTCTCGCAGCCTATCCAGCACCTCCACCTTTGCTTGCTGGATCCCGATCTGCCCCCCTGTCACCTCGTAGCCCAGATACTGAACGGTCTGCTCACCCCACCTACACTTCTTCGGGTGACACGTGAGTCCCGCTGCTTCTATTGCTGCCAGTGTCTTCTCCACATCCTGCAGGTGCTGCTGTTCGGAGGTGCTGAAGATCACGTCATCTATGTAGCACGCTGCATATTCTACGTCCCTCAGCACTGCATCCATGACTCTCTGAAACACTGCTGATGCGTTCCTCAGCCCGAATGGCATGTAAAGCCACTCGTACAGCCCATCCGGCCCGTGAAATGCCGTCTTCCTAACGTCCTCCTCCCTGATTTTTATCTGATTGAACCCCTGCCACAGGTCCAGCGTCGTAAAGAACACCCCCTCTGCTAACTTGTCAAATATCTCCTCCGCCATCGGCATTGGGTACCTGTCCGCCACGGTATTCTTGTTGAGCGCTCGGTAATCTCCGCACATCCTCCTGCTCAGGATCTCCCCTGTTAAGTCCTTCCTCGCTGCCACCACTGTTGGTGTGGCGTATTCTGATTCTGAGCGCCGGATCAGTCCGGCCGCTAGCAGCTCCTTAATCTTCTCCTTGCATATCTCTTCATCTCCGTGCGGCATCTTCCTACGCCGTTGGAACACCGGCTCTGTGCTGCTCAGTTTCAGCTCCATCTCCTTCATTTTGCACCTTCCCAGTTCTTGCAGTGTGAAGGCAAAGCACTTCCTATGCTTGGCCAGCAGTCCCAGCATAGCTTCCCTTCCCTCTTCACTCATCGCTTCCCCCACTGTCCACTTCTCTCCCTCCTCCTCCTGGCAGGTCCATGCTCCTTGTGGGGCTGCTGCTGCCGCCACCTTATCTGCCTCTTGCCCCCCACCCAAGACCATCTCTCGCCACATCCTCTGCACCAGCCACCTCATCATGTAGCCATCCATGGCATTCCCCATTGCCCTCCTCCTGTCTTCCTCGCTCACCCCTGGTGCTGCCGTCACGTTTTCTCCATATCCCATAGCCAGCTCCCTCTCTAATGCCGTCGGTTCCTCCCACCGTCCCCGCTTGTGGTCATATATCAGCCCGGGTCCGGGCTCCCCCTTTTCCCACCTGTAGCCTGCTGCCTCTGCAAAAGCGACCAAGGTGGGCAGAGCCCTCCTGTCCTGCCCCACCTGGTTGCACGGGTAGTGCCTGCTGTAACTTCTTTGACAAACTGGCGCGGGAGTCCGTCCCGGCTCCAGGATGTCCACCACCCTCCTCCCTGTAGCCCTCCTCATCCCCTCTGCTTCCTCCTGCAAATCCAGCACGGGAACCACGTTTTGCCAGTACATCCTGAGGCGGTGAGCGTACGACCCTGCCCTGGCTGCATCACAGCTCATCCCTTTTCCCACGTGCCGGCCAATCCTCTCCCTCACCAGCCGAATCGGCTCTCTACAATCCCCTTCTAGATCCTGATTCTCTAGCAAGTAAGCCACTCTGCCCTGCCTCTCCTGCAGCCACTCCAGGATATTGAACAGGTTGTCCATCAGCTTCGTCCTCGGGTCCTCCCCTCCCTTCCCTTTTCCTGCCCATGACACCCCTTGACACTCCCATCCCGCCACCAGCAGGTCCACCTGCCCCCAGCTGGCCACCTGCTCCTCTGTGATCTGACTCACATCGTGCACCGTACTGCTCGTGGCTTCCTGAATTACTTTCTCACCCAGGAGGTCCGGGAACTCAGCTCTCAGCTTGTGCGCGTGATGCTCAGCCATCCTTCTCACCTGTGGTGCCAGTTCCACATAGACCCACTGCTGCACTGCAATCCCACTCCTCACTGCTGCCGCCAGCCCTGCCCCGATTCCTCCGAACAACTCTACTAGCCGGATGGGCTGCTGCCAATCGCTATGCTGCCCCGGCTTGTCCATCAGTTTCATCCTGGGCCCCTCCTTGGTCTCTGCTGCTCCTCTCTGCCCCCTTTGTGCCCCTCCTGCTCTGACCTGATAGGCCCGCTTCGGCTCCACCCTTACAAACTGCACTGGCAGCTGCCCCAATGGTCCCTCCTTCCAGTATCTCGTTCGGAACTCCACCTTCTCCATCCAGGTACATATGCTCATGCCTACAGCGAACACCAATTCTGTCCCCATCAGCAGATCAAAGTCCTCGGACTCCGAGATTCCACACTTCATCCTGATCCTTGTTTCATGCTCCCCTCCTGGCAGCAGTGTCAACTCTATGGGGGTCCGTGTGCACGGCATCCACTTTGGTTCCCCTCCCTCTGCTGTCATGACTAACATCCCCTTCGCCACGTGCCTCTCAGGGGCCATCAGCCCCAACCGTTCGGCCATCCCCTTACCCAGCATCACGCTCTGTGCTCCTGTGTCAATGATCGCCGTCTTTACCTTCATCCCCCCCACTTCCACCGCTCGTGCTTCCACGAGCAGCACCGAGGTCTGGCACGCGAGTCTTTCCTGCGGGTGGCGGGCTGGGGTCTTCTCTCCTCCTGGCGCGTCCGGCCTGGACCCCTGCTCACGTGGCTTCCGGCTATGCTCCTGCCTGCCATCCTTCCCCCCGCTACGCAGCCCCATCTGTTCCCTGCCTCTCCAGGCCATGAGGGCACACTGCACGTCCGGCTCC